GTAAGTCACATTCTCTGTACAGATGTAAACATTATTAAGGATTACTGTAGGAAACAGTCCTGCCCTCACCTGTCCGTCACAGCAGAACAGCGAAGAAGGAGCCTATGAGTGGATGGAAGGCGGAGCCAAGAGGGGAGGGAGTTGGATGTAAAGGCTGGTGGATGGAGTCTGAGGGAGATTCTGGTAGAGAGAGACTGTGTGAAACTTAAAAGTAAACTAAGAGTGAGTTAGAGATCTGAAAGAACGATGAATGGAACAGAGAATTCAAAGAGGTTTAAAGTTATATCAGATGTGATTCAAATATAAGTGATTGGCAGCCTGTGATTTATCTATTAAATAGTAATCATATATTAACGTCCCTAATCTAATAAATGACTTGAGTTTTAAAAGCACACGTCTCCATAATTAAATGGTATTAAAGCAGTAATACCTGGTGGCAGTGAGAAAAGGAAGAAGAGCGAGAACCTTGTGAAGGCCTGGGGGGGAGGAGATCACCACAATTACAATGGAGCTTATGTAACCCATTCAAGAAGGACACCTTGCTCAAGGTACAGTTCATTTCAAACATATGTATATGGACAAAAAAAGAAACAAAGGGTTTTTTACTGGACCTACTGACACAGCATTACAGGGAATGCCAACATATCTGGTCTGTCCACCTTAACAAATAACAGCTATTTTGTACATAAATCTATTAAGTGGAATTTGAGGTTCCAATTTTTAAAAAAGTAGATCTCAAAAACTTGAAGAATAACTACTACTGAAGGAAAAGGGAAATTACTTCTGCATTATTATAAGATGTATTATCGTTCCATGGATTCTATGTACTGTAATAAACTGTGTTGAGGGACATTTCTACGCGGAAAAACAGCATAAAAATATAAATGAATGAGGGTGAAAAAGCATAGGTAACCAATATCTAGAAGCACTAAGAGTTTTTCCTGTTTCTGGCTTCTGCAAATGTGTACAGGGAAAACTTATTCCATCCTTCCCACATAGTCATTTTAAGAGAATGTCAGTATTCCTATTAAAATGCACAGGTGACGTAAAGCTTTTTTGTATTGCAAAAACAATTATTGGTTTAACAGCTAAAGCATTCTAAAATTACTTAACCATGCTTTTAGCTTTTAAGTTCAATCCAGCTTTTTTCTGTAAATCATTATACTGAAACCACACAATGAAGATACAGTATATGAATAATAAAAGTTTACTGTAAAGTCTTCCCCTTATGAAGAAATTATTATAGTAACAGTGTCCAACACAGAGGAAATGGAAAATCTAGCTAATGTGCTTTACATATGTAGCTAAAAAAATTATGTTCACCCTTTAGATAATTATTACCACATACTCTCACAATACATATATATCACGTTTTCCAATTTTCAAGAAACAGAAAGGGCAATCTTCTCTCGTCTTGTCTCCCCCTTCTTAAATATTTTAGATTTTGCTTGATTTGTACAGAAATAAACATGACTGCTAACACTCTCTTTTTTCCATTAACATTCTCTTTTTCCATTGTCAGTTTCACTCAATAACATTGTGAACCTATAATTTATTCCTTTATATTTAATATATATGAAGAATGTGAAAAGAAACATTTCCTGAATCTTTTTAGCCTCCAATACACCTGGTAGTTGAAAGCATTTGCCAGTCTTTCCAGTCTCTGCTTTCATGTACTTCAAGCTGTTATGGCCAAAGTTGTCTGGCTTACTATTGTAACTTGAAAAGTTCTGGAAAAGGCCCACAAATAAGCAAAAGCTGATCTGTGATTTAGCAAAATATGATATATACACATGCAAGTTACCTTAATCTTCCCTACTACAGCTTTAACACAAAAGCCAGAGTCCTACTGATGTTTACATAAGATCTGCCTATCTTGTCATGGCTAATTCCAACTAACTGACAAGGTGGCAAGGCATGTCTTCGTTATGTGCCTGGTCAAGGTGTCCCACTGCATAAGCAAGAAGCACCACCACTTTGTTCATCAGCTCTAATTAGCCACAACAAGTTACATAGACCTTACACAAATGCTGGTAGGATCCCAAAGAGTAGGAAATTGGGGGTTCAGCAAATTATCTTTAAATGAAAACAACGAAACAATAAACAATACTTCGACCTCAGCAACAATCAATACATGCTCAGTGAAATCAATAGTAAATACTATTTTCCTTCACTAGTGGAATAACTTTACAATTTAACAGCATGACATGAGCTAAACATCTTTATTAAAATCATAGGGGAACACAAATAATTTAGTTTCAACTCCTTATCTGTAACAGATGGATGACAATACAGGCTATTATATGGCTACTATAGGGATCAGCAGCAAAAGAAACATTTTGTTTGGAATTTTGAAAATACTCTTATACATCTTGAAACAAGGTGGTTGTATTAGTTAATAATGAATAAGGATAGATTCTTCTGCATCACAACTGAAGTGGGACCTGTGAAAAATCCATTTGCCTCTACTGCCATCTCTCAGTTGCCATTATTGTCTGGGAATATACAATTAATTTCTAAAAATTTTAACTCAGACATTTTTAGTCTGAGTTGATCTGTTGGTGTCATAGACATTTGTCTGCCAACTTGGCTAAAATAAATCTAGCTGAGTCTCCATCGTACTAAAAGAAAGCTTTTTGCCAGTCTGCAAAGCAGTAAGATTGCATGTGGGAGAGTCAACTGAACAAGCCAGCACTTTCTGGCAGACTGAGAAATGATAGTAGAATATATAAGAAATCATTGCTATTAAAGTGAAAAGCAAGTTATACTTCTTGCATTTTTGAGAAATATCTAGAACAGGCTGTAGAAATTAACATGTGCTTTCATTTGCTTCCTTCCGAAATACTAAAATTGTTCCTTTGAAAATAAAAAAGTATTAATTTCCTAAAGCAATGAAAAAAGATAAACTAACAAAAGACAAACAAATCTTGTTTTGGTGACTGTGATATTTATTACATTCTCTACCTGACAAAAAAACCAAAAAAATCTGCATTAAGTTTGAGGTTGCCATTTAACTCCTTGTCCTGGACTTTTTCTTTTATCAAACAAACAAAAAAAAAACAGTCTATGTTCTACTTCTACTGCTGTTCAAATAATGTCACACCTAAGGGCTAACTTTCCTCTGCTTATTTATAAGAGTAAAAATGCCTCTGGTGAAACATACACTCCTTGTTATTCTGATGATAATATGTGTGGGTATAATATCTTATGACGGCTATTTCCAAAAATCAGAAACAGAATTTCTAGAATAGATTGTTTATTACAAAAAAACCCACAAAAATGCAAAAGATTAAGAATGTTCAATATCTGAAGCTCCATATAGTCTAAAGAACAAGGTGGAAGCAGCATAAAGGAGAGCACAAGTGATAATAGTTGGAAAATAAACATTTTCAGTGTCAGCAAGGAGAAAATTGGGAGGATGGTTGTAATATAGAACATACTGATGAAATGATGCAACAGTAAACTCTCAACAATGCAAAAAAACCCATTTTCAGTCACAGTGCACTAAGCAAGGCATTACTAAACATTTTTAAAAATATTGTTTTTAAAAAATTAAGTGGTAAAACTATAATGCCAATAGCGCTCAAAATCAACAAAGGCAAAAAGTAAATCGACAGTAGCATTCACAACCACCAACATGAACTGAAATAAATCTATTTACAAGCATATTTTAAAAAGCTTCTACCAGCCAGTTAAAAAACAACAACTCACTTTGCAACCCAAATTGATTCCACCCATGTATTGTGTGCCCAGGAATTTATAAATTGATTTAAATAACACTTAAATCAATGTGACTGCAGTTCACATTGACTGGGCCTCTGGGAACTAGTGAGCTGTGTGTACTTTGATTTGATCCACTTTTTCTGCATTTCTATAAAGACAAGGTGATGTTGTTCCATGACATGTCATTCTTTCCTAAGATGGTTTTGGATTTTCACCTCAACCAACCTCTAGTATTACCTACTTTCTTCACATCTTCAATTTCAGATTTAGAAAAAGAAAATTACATATATTGGATGTTCACACGGCGGTTGAGGAGGTTGGACTTCAAATAGGCCCCTTCAAATTCAATTATTCTATGATTTTATGATTAGCAACCAAGAATCTGGAAATGGTGAACGTGTTACATATCAGCGTTTATCCAAATGGATAGTGAACACTATAACTTTGGCTTACCTATCAATGAAGGAAACTGGTGTCCAAGACTTTGAAGGGGCATTCAACTAGAGCAGTTTCTGATTCTACAGCTTTCCTTAAAAGTGTTCAGCCAAGAGACATTTGTAAGGCAGGAATATGGCCCCAGCCCCTGATGTTTGTCAGACATTACAGGTTGGCTTTCAGAGCAAAGATAGTTCTTTAGGCAGATGTGTTATTTCTTCTGTTTTGGACTGATATCCCACCAGCAAGTAATTGAGCTTGACAGGTATCCAAATGTGTGATTCACAGAAACCACAAAGAAGGACTTTGTAACCGTAGTTCTTTGGTTACCTGTGAATTCACTCAAGTCACCCATCTTCCCCTCAGTCTGCTATGCAGAAACATATTTTATCAGTGGCAGATTGGAGCAACTGAGGATTATTGGCAGGGTGGAAAAGCATGCAGCAGTGGAGGGAACAAGAATGAACAAACTTTTTTTCAGACTCTATACAGTGTCCTGAAGATCTCTGCACAGAGACAGGACATTCCATCACTAAACCTCAGTTTTCCATTTATTTCCTCCAAGAGTGGGTTTGTGAGCGTACTCAACGAACAATGCTCCCCCACGTCTACTGCTTTTTAACAATATTTTATCTTTCAAGAAATACCCTGTCTACACCTTACTGGATGTATAGCTAGCACTGCTCTGGCTGCATAACCAACAGCAGCCTAAACATTGGAAACAAAGGGAACAGTGTTGTTTTTAAAAGGCATAGAACATGGTTACATATAGTACATAACATCATAAATGAACTGTGGAACAAAAGTAAAGCCTTGCCCACCCGACTGCTCCACCAGTTTACCTTATCATGATTTTCTATTAAGATCTCCACCACAATATTTTGAAACTTCAGGTCCATGAGGGCAGCCACAGTTTCTTCTTGTGGCCTCATTAATGTTGGTCCAAATACTACTCCTAAATTTGCTACAGTCATGAGATTCTTCTTGGCATTGGTTGAAACACTTCTCATGAAAAAGAAAGAAGAGAAAACCAAAATCAGTAATAGAATTTTCAGAGAGAAACAAAAGTTATTTGTCTAAGCTAGAGAAATGAAAGACTTGGCAACTTATGTAACTATGATTCTATTATTGGTGATCCATGTATCCACACAAAATGGGTGTCTGCGCCTGCATGACATTGCTTTTGAAAGTTCCAGAGCCTCAAAAACAAAAGTGCCTTAGCCTACACCATGCAAGTGTAGCCCTGCTTTCCTCACTGCCAATTGTCTGCCGCAAGAAAGGAATAGAGAAGGATGGAACAGGAGGGGAGGATTGTGCGGATACATGGATCACCACTCAAAGAACCATAGTTAAGTAAGTAACCAAGTCTTCTTCTTCATGGTGTCCATGTATGCACATAAAATGGGTGACTAGTAAGCTATACTTTGGAGGTGGGAGTTACACCAAGATAGAGGATAAGATAGCTCATCCAAAAGCAGCATTCTTTTGAGCTCTTAGGTCTAAACTATAGGGTGTGACAAATGTCATTGAACAGAACCAAACTGCTGCTCCACCGATCTCTTGGATGTCGACACCTTGGATGAAGGCCATAGAGGAGGAGATGTCTCTTGTAGAGAGACTGTGGAAGGTCTGAGGTAGGGGCTTGTTTGCTAGTTCATAAGCGTTGCTAGTTCATAAAACCTTGGGTAGGAAAGAGAGCCATTTGGAGAATCTCTGAGAGGAGACTGTGTGTCCCTTTTTGTGACCTTGGTAGGAGGTGAAGAATTTAGTCATTTGTTTAAAGTCCTTTGTAAGATAAAAGACCAAGGCTTGCCTGACATCCAAGGAATGAAGGACCTGTTCTAGGTTATTCTGCAGAGACGGATAGAAGGCAGGTAAGACAACGAGTTGAGAGATGTGGAAATAAGATGCAACCTTGGGTAGGAAAGTAATGTCCATGTGGAGAGTAACCTTATTATGTGAGAAGAGGGGGCATGGGGAACCACAGTGAAGTGCTGTAAGCTCTGCGGCCCAACAGATGTGAAGGCCACAAGGAGTGCCACCTTGAGCGTTAGTAGGTGGAGATCAGTTGTAGGCAGTGGTTTGAAAGGGTTAGTGAGCTGTGATAGTACTTGTGAAAAAGACAATGGGTCATGAAGGGGGCCTCACATCTCGATTGGCATTCTGGAGGACCTTGAGGAATTTTTTGATAGTTTGATGTTTGAAGAGATGCGAGGATGGGTGATTAGCTGGTTGATGAACCACTATGGCTGCCAGATAGACCTTAATAGAGGAAATGGAAAGTCCCTTTTGCTTGAGATAGAAAAGGAAAATAAAACAGCGGAAAGGGATGCTGGTGAGTGTGGCTGACCTTGTGACAATGCATAAAGCGGATACACTTCCATGTATAGACATATAGGTAGTTGGTGGAAGGACTTCTCGCTTGGCTCAGAATATTTGCGAAGAGAGGCATATCCCCCAGGTGGTGAGCTTCAGGCAAGTGTCATTCGGATGAAGTATCTTGCCATGGTGACAGGAGAGGAGGTCTTAATGTGGGGGCCACTAGAACGTTCCAAAGCAGTGTTGCGCAGACACACATACCTATTTTGTGCATATACATGGACACCACGAAAAAGAAGTTGAACTATTTCCCCCATTTTTCAAGGTTTTAAATAAACAAAATCTGATACTTTCACCATACAAAATAACTCATTTGAATATATACTAGCAAATTTAGATTTTAAGAAGGAGGTGTGAAGCCAATTTACATTTACCAACAAATCTTCAATTTTGGGGGATGTGGGGCATATACACATACACACACAAGACAAAGTCAAACTCTCTTCTTTTATCTTCAACCAAACCAGCAAAATATGTTAATACATTACATTTCAGCCTGCTTCTCTCAGATATATACAGAAAAAGGTGAGGTTTACTCTTTATTCCAAGTAATGTTCCTAAATAAATTCAGAGTTCATCTCTGAACACAATTCCTTAAGTTGAGTCATAGCAACTGGACTTCTTTCTTATTAGGTTGAAACGTTTCACTATTCATCCAAGTAGCTTCTTTAGTCTGAGGAGAGTTGGTAGGAGATCCCTGATATATCCTCCACTTTGGTTACATTTCCCCAGATCTGAATAGGCTTCTTAGATGGACAAAGGACGCGGGGTGGTGAGTGAAAATCCCACTTCTGCAGTTCTTCTCCAACTACTGTCATGGGTCGTTAACAGTCATTAACAGTGGTCTCTCTGGTGGGTGTGGTCCTGATCTTTCTGGGGACGGACGAAAGGGCAGCATGATAAATGGGAGACAGATTGTATCTTAAAGCCTCCACCCCTGTTGAGTGGGGGATTTTTTATACACACCTGTATGGCCTCCCTGACACTTGTATGGCCTCTCAAAATGGCACCTGTATGGCCTCTCAAACCACCTATCTTCTCGGTCCAAAATTAGTACATTTTGGTCATGAAATGAGTGTCCTCTATCCTTCAAATGAAGGAACACTGCTGATTGTGGTCCTCAGATATTGCCCCTCCTATGCTGGGCCATTCTCCTGTTTAGTGGCTGTTTGGTTTCTCCAATGTGGAGCTCCGAATACCCCTCTTTGCATTGGACCACATATACTAAGTCTCTGCCTTAGTGTGTTCATGGGTTTGAAGTGCACAGGTATGTGGTTTTTACAAAAAAATCCTTTTGAGCTTTTCAGACACACCCACCATGTAAGGAATGACCAGGTTCTTCCATTGGCTCTGGGTCTCAGACTGTCCCATTGTCCTGCTGGGTTGGGACATTGCCTTGTTAAAGCTCATTTGATGACCAAAATGTACGCATTTTGGACTGAGAAGAGAGCTGGTGGGTTTAGCATCGGTGGTGACCTGAACAGTGAGTTGGAGGGCCTACCTACGAAGAGGTTGATAGGTGTGTCCAACCAAAGTAGTTGGGCTGCACGTTCTGGTGTAACCTCGAGGAGCTTGGTAGGTGGACCTGAGAGTCAAATAGGGACAGGTAGCACGCTTGGAGTGAGCACATATTCAATTGGGCATGTGGTATGACCGACGTGGTGGAGGTGATGACGGCTAACAGACGTTGAGCATGGTGTGCCGTCACAATGGTACAGGGCTGGAAGTGTAAGAGGAGTGAGAGGAGTTTCATCACCTGTTCCTGAGGGGGGAGGGCTAACAGACGTTGAGCATGGTGTGCCGCCACAATGGTACGGGGCTGGAAGTGTAAGAGGAGTGAGTGGAGTTTCATCACCTGTTCCTGAGGGGGGAAAGCTTGAGCTCTTCATGAGTCGAGAACGGCTTCTACGAATGTGACTCTTTGAGATGGTAAGAGGGCACAAAGTCTCTGTTGACTCTTAGGCCCAGATCCGCTAGAAGCGAGAGTGTTAAATTTATGTTTTGTGTAGCCTGGGAATGAGAAATGACTAGCAAGCAATTGTCTATGTAAAGAAAGGCGGAGACTCCTTGGGTGCGAAGATAAGACACTAGGGGGCCATGCACTTGATGAAGACCCGGGGGGGGGCAGTGGGGAGGCCGAATAGAAGGGCCTTGAATTCGTAGATGGTGTCTCCAAGGGAGAATCTGAGGTACTTGTGATAATCTTGATGAATGGTAATGTGGAAGTAGGTCAATGACAGCAAACCAGTCGCCTTCTTGAAGAATGGGTAGTATGTGCTCTATCATGACCATATGAAAATGTCTCTGAACAATGTAGACATTGAGGTCTCAAAGGTCAAGGATGGGTCTGAGACCTCCGGCTCTCTTCGGGACAGTAAAGTACTGGGAGTAGAATCCTGGGTCGTCATCTGGGGGGGATGACAGGAGTGATGGTGTCCTTTAGCATTAGAGACTGAATTTCTTGTTGTAGTATAGTTGACGGAGTAGTCAGGATCATTCTTGATGGTGGTAGGAGAGAGAATTCGATTACATACCCCACAGTGATGGTGGAGAGGACCCAAGAATCGGTAGTGATAGAAGCCCAGGTTGGAAAATGGGCTTCAAGACATGGTGGTGAATGAGAAAATGGGAGGTGGGTGGATTTGGGCAGTGGGAGAGTCAAAGATTCTGCTTTGGTTTTTTATCAGGTTGCCTAAAAGACTGTCAAGGGCGCTGTAGTTGGTTGTTGTGACGAGGTTGGAAAGATGAAGAAGCTGATGATAAGTATCTCTGCCTAACCATAGGTTGTCTGTACAGTAGGGGAAAGAGTGGCGCCACTGTTAGCGCCACTCTTTCCCCTATGATTGCGTATTGTAAGAGTGAGCAGTCTTTCTCATTTTTTGCAGGTTGTCAAGAATTGTATCAGTCTCGTCATCAAAGGGGCCCTCACCATTGAATGGTAAGTTCTCAATGCACAGACAAGGGTCCTCTGAAATATGGGTGTGTCGAAGCCATGCATGTCTACAGAGTGTGATGGCAGTGGCCATGTGTTTAGATGGCATGCTCCCATAGCACCTAAATAGTTGGCAGCTTGAAGGGTGAAGGAAGCTGAAGAATAGATTCTTCTACCAATGATGTCAAGCTTTCTACCTTTTCGGTTATTAGGAGCAGCATTAGAGCGATTACGAGCTCTATTTTGTGTAGCATCAACTATGACTGAATTAGAAGGCAGATGTTTGGAGAGAAAGGTAGTATTGTCTCTGTGTGTCTTGTACAAATTCTTGATACATCTGGACATTTGAGGTACTGAGGAGGGTTTAGACCATGATTGTTTAATGAGAGAATGGATAAACCCCATGTGAAGTGGTGGGGTCTGGTCCTGACTGGTGTCCTCATAAACCTTGTCTGATGCTGTTGATACTAGCTGTTGGACATCAAGGTCCATCACCTTCACTATGCAGAGAATGAGTTGTGAGTAAGAAGAGAAGTCCTCGGATGGAGACAGTGGGTTGGTATCAGCTATGTCAGAATCCGATGTAGGTAGATTAGGCGGAGACTCATGTGGAGGTGAAGAGTCTGAAGTGTCAGCATCAGAGAATTGGTAAGTTGAGCGGGGGTGATATTCTTGAGGCAGAGGGGATTGTTGTCATGGAAATCCTGATGCATGAGGCAGGTCATCTTGTGGCGGTGAAGTGGGATAAATTCTAGACTTGCCAGTACAATGAAGTTTCAGAGGAACAGACTGAGTGGATGGATGAGGTAGTATATAGTGACTCACTTTGGGTAGCAGTATTGAGCATGAGCATCCTGTGGTGCCATCAACCCCGGTGGTATCAGAGGTTGTGAATGTTCAGCAGCAGATCAGCAAGTCTCTGAAGTATAGTGAATATTTCAAGATTGTTTGCGCAGTAGCAATAGATCAGCCAAAGCAGAGGCTGAATTGGACTCGAAAACAGACAGAGCAACCCACAAATTTGGGACTTGAGTGTGTCGATAGAGGAATTGCTGCAGCATCAGCAGAACTGTTAGGCCAGTCTGGCGACTGTGGAAGTAGAGAAGATGGTGAATGTCCAGACGGAGGAGGGATGGGGTAATCATCCACAGAAGGCGAATCAAGACATACAGTCAGCTGGTCTTGAATGGGAAGAGAAGAGACAGTTTTGTCGGGTGCAGACCGCGAAGAAGGAAGCCTGGTAGAGGGTGAGTCTGTAGATGGTTTTCTTTTTCTTTTTCTTCGTAGACCTCAAATGGTCAGACGCCGAGGTCAGTTTTGATGTCAATGTCATTTTTGATGTTGATCCTGATGTCTTAGATTTCAAAATTGACTTGGACTTAGGCTTCGAAAGTGTTGGTTCAGGTATCAAAGAAGCAGAAGGCATGTCTGTAGAAACTGTGCTAAGAGCTTGGAGAACTGAAGTGGGTTCCATTGAAGGTGGTAATGGTCAAATGGAGCATTCCCAGAGGAAAGATCTGAGGTGCAGTTGCCTGAGCTTGAGGGCCTGTTTGGTGAGATTTCCACAGGCCTGAGAGGAAGAAGGTTGGTGCGATTCTCCCAGACAAAAAAGACAGGAATGTCTGCCGGAAAGGAGGTTCTTGTTAGGGCACAAGGTGCACCATTTGAACGGTCCTGTGGGGTCCATAAAATGACGGGAAGGGAAAGGGAAGGGAAGGTGTTCAGGAAAGGGCGAAACAGTTCAAAAGTCTCTTAATATTTTCCCTATGTAACTTTTTGCTTTTAGTAAGAATCAAAAGCAAGGCGAACGGAGAGCTCGTCGAGAGATGAAATCTCAACGGCAGGAAAAAGGAACTGAGGCAATTGCCAGAATGCTCAGACCACATGTACTGGGGGGCAGTCCTTGCGAACACCTGATAAAACTCTAGAGTATTCCAGAAACCTCTGAGCAAGCATAGATTAACCCATTAGTATGCATTCACAGAGACTACGAAGAAGATATCAGAGATCTCCTACCAACTCTCCTCAGACTGAAGAAGCTACCTGGATGAGTAGCAAAATGTTTTAACCTAATAAGAAAAAAAGTCCAGTTGCCATGACTCAACGTCCAGAGAACCTCACCTGGATAACTGAGAATCTTCACGGATACAAATTCCTTAAGCTTTCTTTAGGCACACTGGGGGGGGGGGCATTTAAAACGAAATCAGTATGCAAGATACTTACTTTGCTAAATGTTTCACCAAAATATCCAACATTTCTTTATTCTTCTCTGGAAGTTTATGAACCAAGAAGTGAATAGCATTAATACGAGACTCAGGGCTGCCACTTTCTAGACAAGAAATGAAGCAGGAATTCTTCTTAGTCATGCACTTGACACACCATATGTGCTTGACAAAAATTATACATAAATATTTTAATTGCCTCTCCATATTCTTAATTTCTTTTTCAGGAAGGACCAGAATTGCATTTATAATAGTCTTTAAAACTATTCTCCCCCTGCCCTTTTAAAATAATACAGTTTTCTAGTGTGTTTTCTTTGGAAGGGATTGAGGATAGAGAACAATAATTACTGAATGACATTCTTGACATAATTTATGGGCTGTCTTAAGAAACAAGAAGGCATTCCTCTAAAATAAGAATGGATAGGATACTTAAACTCCTAGTCAGGTCTACTCAGAATTTTGCCTCTTTATTTCAACACATGACCCAGAAAGTCACTTCCACTTTCTAAAAATATATATCTTTTTTGGATTAACATTTACATGGCAACGTACGTGTCCCAATTGCTTTGGGGGATCATCTGCTATTCTGGGACAATTTTTATTAGTGTTAGGTGTGCTAGAGATAAGACGGGGGGCCTGTACTTGGGGCTTTGGTAATGAGCCTTTTCCCACTTATCTTTCCAAATGAAATCAATAACCACAAGTGGCAACAAAACAAATCACCTTATCTTTGTGTGCCTATATGTATGCACTGAAATGCTCATATATGTATGAGAATATCGACCTGAATAAATCACATGTAGACATTCTACTACTCTGACTTAAACTGACTAACCAATTATAACAATTCTTTAAATATATATTTTGAAAGTTAACATTGATTTGTTAAAATATATTTTGATCACTTATAATGCTGAAAGATTCAATTAAAATTAATGTTCGCCTATGAGGTACTGCACATTTATATTGGTTTTGTAGAAAACAGGAAGAGAGCCTATTTAGAAGCTTTAGATGTGGAGAGATAAGCATGTATTTATTTTCCAAAATCAAGACATAACTCTTTCCGAATAGAGGATGAGATCTTGTTTCTTCCACTTCCCAGTCTTTTAAAGACAAGGACCTGTTTTCAGAATACTTTAATTTCACTTATCTAATTTTTATCTAAAGTGCTAGAGGCAAAAGAACACATTTACTGACTAATATTTATGCAGTATCTGTTCCCATGGTGATTTTTCTCCTTAAAATTATTTAAAATCATGCCCCCCATGCCAGTTGCTCCTTCTTCAAGTCTTTTTTTTTACATTCTACATATTGAATTCCACCTGATAATTCATTGTTTCCACAAATTTACAAGAAAATGCTAAGAGAGGGAAAGAAAAGAATAAAGACCTTATAAGCATCTGATACAGACCACCACTATCAAATTAACAGGAAATGTTGAGATATAGAGAGTGTGCCATTCCCATTCCCCTCGATTTTACTACAAAGTTCCACATAAAGAGACATGAAAACATGCATTTAGAGTAATGCAAATCGCTCATTCTCTAGGAGGCTAGCCATGTTGTACCTAGTACAGATGTAAAGTTAATCCAACAATATCAATATGCAACATATTTTAATACATTTGAACATATTTTATATTTGCAGGAACATTTTATGCATCTAGAGGTTGGGGGAGATAGCTGAATGGTCCAGTGATTTAGCTATCTGGCTGCAAAGCCAGAAGTTAGGAGTTTGATTCCCCACTGTGCCTCCTGTGAGTAGGGCCAGCCTGTGTAGCCCTGGGCAAGCTGCATGACTGCAGGGCATACCCAAAAGAAGGAAATAGTAAACCACTTCTAAGCATTCTCTATCTGGAAAACCCCAAAAACGGCTGTCATCAGTCAGAATTGACTTGATGGCATGTGACTTTCATTTGAGGTGTGTGTGGGGGGGGAGAAATATGCAATTCTCAAGTGGCCTTGATTAAAGCTTCTGAGTATTAATTACACTTTTTATGCTGTAAGTAGCAGTATGCTCAAAACTACTGTATCTTGTGTCCACTACTTAAAAAGACATAAGGTTTTAATTGTAAGTCCAATATTTACTGGCAGGAATGATGAACTCTTTGTGCAATTCATAGGTCATTAAGGGCTCTGGAAGGCTTCTGTTAAGGGAAAAAAACACACTCAATTATTAAGTAGAAATAAAATTAAGTACACTGACTTCTATCAGCATTAATTCCTAGTATAAAGATCCTCAAACAGCCAACCTATATATTCCCAACCTTGGGTGATCCAGATGTTTTTGGAGTGCAACTCCCAGAACTCTTCACCACTAGCTGTGCTGGCTGAGGTTCCAGGAGTTGCACTCCAAGAACACCTGGTTTACCCAAGGCTGGGAATCACTGCTTTACCAGACTATATTACATCTAGTAAAAGGAAAGCAAAGTGTGCTGCTTATATACCCCCCACAGCATTTCAAGCACTCTCTGGGAAGCTTACAAGTTAATTATGCAGGCTACACATTGAGCCCCCCCCAGCTTAACTGGGTATTCATTTTACCGACCTTGGAAGGATAGAAGGCTGAATCAACCTTGAGCCGGCTACCTGGGATTGAATCCCAGGTCATGAGCACAGTTTGACTGCAGTACAGCAATTTAACCACTGTGCCACGAAGCAATAGTATACTATTGTCTTGAGTTGTACTAGCCCTAAAATATGTCTCTGACTAATATACGAGAAGTAGCATCCTATCAAATATTCCCTTCAGCATCATTCATTCAGTGTACAAAAGTGAGGGAAACCCTTGGGCCCTATCACCTTGGCAAAGAAATGACTTGGTAATGGAATCCTTCCTTTAAAACCTAAGTGTTTCAGATTATATGATCACACATTAGCTAGTTAAGTTTTTTAAAAAGATTTTAGCAAAAAACATCACTCAGAATGTAAGAGTCTGTTATCAGTACTTTAAAAGCCTTTGTAATCAAAGATGCTAATGCTAAAAGAAATGTGTTTTTCAACCAAAATTTTTCAGTTTAGCTGCAGTTAAATTGCAATTAATTTTTATGTGAAGTTTACCTTAAATATTGCTTCAGTGCACTTGTTATTGTCTTCACTTCCCATTCTGTGGAATTTTCCAGTTCAACTTCATCACATGTTTTTCCATCTAGAACATGATCATGGGGGAGGGGAGAGAAAAGAGATTTAAGCTGCTCTTAACCAAGTCCCTACTATTAACCTGTGGTTACCAAACGTCAGCATCATGTTCCCTTTTACATTTCTGAGACTGTTACAGCTCCCTACTTTTCCTTTACCACCCTCCAAACACTCAAAAAATTCAATTAAAATTAAAAAAAAAAATCAAAAAATGTTTAAAAATATTTTAAATTAAAAATAAGTTCACATTGTTTTCTTTGAGAAATTCTGGATTCCAGTAATATCTACCACAGAAACTTGTTTAAGCTGATAAAAAAAAAATTTGTTCATGAAAATTTCATTCTCCCTGCCCAGAACCTCCTTTTGTCCTCTTAGGACCTCGCACAATCATTTGGGAATCCGTGCTTAAACATCAATATCCACTGAAGTAGAAATGATATTACACTTGCAAATAAGTTATAGATTATGCATGTGGGATGTATGTGTTCAACACTATTTCCAGTTGCAAAACCAGTTGCACACATCGTTTCATGATGTAACACCCAGTTACAAAAGTAGTAGTGTGCCTACAGGCATAAAAATAAACACTTAACAGAATTTCAGTAACACACAGTTTTCCTTCACTGCTATTATACTGCATTTAGACTATAAAACAAGTTTTATAAAAGGCAAGTTCACGGCTTTCGATCCCAATTACCACCATTCAGGACCCAACCTCATATATCCTTCCATCATGTCAATATATCCAATACAGATTAAGAGTGTTAGCTGTACATCCTCCATGTAACTTCCCCAACATCATCCAAGTATAATGTATTTCACACAAGTCAGCTGAGCACTAATGACCAACACATATCCAGTGTGTAAGCATTTATACTACAGCACACAGGCTGGATGTTGCATTTAAAGGGTACGTTAAAAACCTGTTTGTACAGTGAAAGTTTAAGAGAGCTGGAATGGGGAAAAAATTTTCTTAATGACAATAAAACATAACAAAAACTGCATGCATGCCACTCAAGTACAGTACAGTATAACCAAATGTCACATGTGATGACAATTGTTGTGTGTTACTAGAAAATATTCAATAGAGTTACGGCTCAAGAGACTATGTTTCTGCAAACTAAAAAAGAAGTTATATAACTACACTTTTTCACCATGTAAAAATTCTGTCAGTGTTACACAATACATGGGTGATAATACTGATTTCATCTTCTACAAGCAGTTAGATTCATTGAAACTGATTTGTAAAAAGCCTGAATGATCATATGTAAAAGATTCTTCCTGACAAAGACAGTGAAATGAGTCTAAGCATGGATTTTATTTTATTTTTAAAAATAGGTCTATATGGCATTATCTTGAAGGTAACATTTCACAGCCTAGTATTCCATGATTTGACTGGAGTATCCTGTGATTTTTTTTAAAAAAAAAACAGGTTACAATCCATTTGTTTTTACAGCAGGTAACAGAAAATATAAGAAAAACTACAGCAATGGTAGGTTATTTTTTATCAGTTTATATGTTTTAGACTTTAAATTTAACAATTCTTAAAAGATCAGCAACAAATTATATTATGATTCCTTATTATAAGTGGTCCTTTCTAAGACAGAATAATTATCTTCAAAAGGATGTCAACCAATTAATTATTGTTACTCAACATTCTCTCATTAAAAACACAAGTCAAATAACATTTGCTATTAACTTACAAGTATTAACCACTACCCAAAAGACATGTCTAATGTTGTTCTTGTCTTTCAACATGCTTTCCTCTTCCAAAACTTGAACAGTGTCGGTAGAATACTGCCTGAAGAAAGGGAGAGGAAACTCTTTTCTATTTCTGCATACCTCCCTGGAAAAGTTATTTCAACACAGAAAGCTGCGCTCTGACAAACCATGTAGTTGTGGCCTAGTGAAGCCCTGATTTCTCCTTTCCCACCAAAATTAAAGCTGAGACAAATTGACCTAACACTTGATATCAGGAAGTAAGATGGGAATGTGGTCAAGAAATTGAGCTGGAAAAAGGAACTACAGTGGTGCCTCGCAAGATGATGTTAATTCGTTCAGCAAAAAACGTCTTGTGAAAACATTGTCTCGCAAAATGCGGTTCCCTATAGGAATGCATTGAAATCTAATTAATGCGTTCCAATGGGGAAAAATCATCGTCTTGCGGAAAAAAGTCTTGCGAAACGCGTTTTCCCATAGAAATGCACTGAAATCTAATTAACGCATTCCTATGGGCAAAAAAAGTCAGAACAAAGTCAAATCAAAAAACTTCATAATTATCATAGAAAAACATTCATCTTGCGAAAAAGGGTCCGTTAAAAAATCGTCTTGCGAGTCGCGGACCCAACTGTCTTGCGAAAAAGCGTCTCTTTAAAAAATTGTCTTGTGAAGCATAGACCCATGCATTGTCTTGCGAAAATCATCCATAGGAGAAACCGTCCCGCGAAGCACAACAGCGATCACAAAAACTAATCGTCTTGCAGATTAATCGTCCCACGAAGCAATCATCTTGCGAGGCACCACTGTACAGTGTTGATTGGAAAATGGTGGCTGAAAGAGTTAGTACACCATTCCATTCAACTACCATCAAATCTGATCAGCATTTTACTGACATGAAGTCTCAAATTAAACATGAATGTGCTAATTTGGAAGTGATTTTATGCATGGTGCAAACACAGGAGGATTAGTAGTTTATTTTTACCACTTTGCTGTGTAATTAAATAACTGTTTTAGATTACATTTATACTGGTGACATTATAATTAGAGAGCCATGAAATAAATTAACAAAGATTCTAAACTCTTTTAATGTAATTTTCAAGACTGGCTATTGATGCTCTTTATACTATTCTGTTGTTGAGGTTCACATAAGGTAAGTGTAACCTGCTCTGATTAATTGCAGCTAACTGATGATAAGCTGGGCTGCATCATGTTTGTGTGATCAAATGAATGAACAGGCATATGACTGAGACACCTCATAACTTGCCACTTAGCTGCAATTAGCCACATAAACTTATGCAAACCTTGTTTAAGTACTGAGAAGATTCTGGCCTCTATTCATGTCTAGAATAACATTTGTATCATGTATTTATACTCTCATCTTCTTTGTTGCATGTGATAGTGTTCAAGTCTGAACTATCTCTGTAGACAAAAAAGATGAAACTGACACTATCATATTTTGGGCACATCATGAGAAGGCAAGGTTGCTGGAAAAGACAATAACGCTGGGAAAAATTAAAGGCGGCAGGAAAATTGGAAGACTAACTATATGATGGATTGACTCCAAAAAGCAAGCCACAGCCTCAAAGTTTACAAGAGCTGAACAGGGCTGTTGAGGACAGGACATTTTGAAAACCATTCATTGATAGGGCCTCCGCATAAGTCGGACACAACTTGATGGCACATAACAACAAACCTTAAGCTTCTGATAAAATGTGTCAGACATTTACATACTCCTGTCATAGGGTCAACAAGCAATATCCTGATATTTGAAGTGGAAGAAGTACCATATCCACTTGTATCATTGCAGGGGGGTCCTTCCATTACAAAAAGCAGTACCTTGCTTCCCCTCACCACCTTCCCTGCTTGCTGCTCTCATCCTCTTGTTATTAACCTCTATGCAGAAGCACCAGTCACATTTCTGCAAAGTCTGCACTTAGCCAGGTGGCTATGAGAACAAAGATGATAAGGAAGAGAAGTCACTGCCAACGCAGCTAAATATGGACTGAGCAAACCTGCTTGTAAGCAGGGGTGGGGGTGGTGAGAGGCAGAGTGAGGTAGGGAGGTCTGAGGAGGAGGAAGAGGTGAAGCTACCATCACTAGAGCATGTTAAGATAGCAGCCACAAACCAAACAAATGGGAATGATGAAGGAGATGATGGCGGTGAGGGAGGCAATCTAGCGACAGAGGAGATGGCAGTGGCAAAAACACTAATGGTTGGAGGAGCGAGTATTTTGGGGGAAGGCTGTTTTAGCATGAGAAGTTAGGCTGCGCAAGCAGCAGAATTCCATGACAAGCAAAGTGCACTATGTTAACTGTTATATGTCATCAAATCAAATCCAACTGATCGTGAACCTAACAGGATTTACAAAGTATGTGAGATATTTATGAAGTGGCTTTATCATTGCCACCACCCAGTGAGTTCAGCAATGGAGACTCACTGTAGAGTGGCAATGGTAAATCACTCCTTAAACATCCACGTACAATGGTGCCTCGATCAGCGACATTAATCCGTTCCGGAAAAAATGTCGCTAAGCGATTTAATCGCTAAGCGATTTTTAAAAGCCCATAGAAATGCATTAAAACTTGTTTAATGTGTTCCTATGGGCTTTAAAACTAACCTTATGCGAAGATCCTCCATTGCAGCAGCCATTTTCAGTGCCTCTAAAGCGAGGCAACACAGCGGGTGGCCATTTTGTTTTCGGGCAGCCATTTTGAAACCACCAATCAGCTGGCCGAATGGGGGCTTTGCGGTGATCACTTCCCCGCGATCATCGCAAAGCGATTTTTCCCATAGGGGCCATCGCTAAGCAATCGCTCTGGCAATGGCCAAAACCCCATCGCTAAGCGATTTCATCGTTCAACGGAGCGATCGCTAAGCGAGGCACCACTGTACCTCGAAAATCCTGTTAGGGTTGAAATAAGTCAAATGCAACAGCAGTGGCACTTCGTCCATCATAGTTTTGCTGCTTGAGCAGCCACCTCTCCCTGCTTAATGACAGCAAGTACAGGTTACTTATCAGAAATTTGCAAATTCTTAAAGCTTCCTCCATTTATAATTATACATACTAGATTTCTTTCTAGATTCCCTTAGAACCTTAGTTATTGAGGGAGAGTTATCCATGCTGTAAATTTTAACGTTTCTACGTCTAGGTGACAAATCTAATTGTTGTGACATGTTAGGAGATCTGAAGTAGCAGGCAGTTTCAGATTGTCCATTGTCATTAGCAGCAGGGTCATAAACCATGACTGTCACGGCCACCATGTGGTTATTAGTATTGCATCTGTCTTCTCCTGTCTGATTTTCACAGTTGTTGGATTCATTAATGGAAAGGGAGGGAATACATACAAGTTTGTGCAAATGTATCCCCCATGGGTTTTTCACCTTTGTTTGTCCGGGAACAATACACCTCGCATTTTTGTTTCCCCAGGGTAATATAAAAGTCTATCTGTGGCAATCCCCACCTCAGTGTTAACTGTTTGTAAATCCTGTCTGACAGCTCTCATTGGTGAGTCTGCATCTGATTTCTGTTCAGGGCATCTGTAATTTGGTTCTCTTTGCCAGGCATGTGGATTGATACAAGGTGAATACATCTCTTGATGCATCTTTCCCAGAAGTATGTCAGTAGAAGTACTATGGTCATGAAATGTATGCCACCCTGTTTGTTTATGCAATACATTGTGGTGGTGTTTTCTGTGATCATCTGCAACTACTTTTCCCACCATGATAGGTTCAAAGGCCTTCACAGCCTTGAGGACTGCTAACATCTCCAGGTGATTTATATGCTGGACTCTCTCCTGAGGAGACCAAAGTACACGGATTTCCTTCCTTAATAGTGAGCACCCCAGTCTGTTAAGGCTGGTGTCTACTGTTACCGTTGAGGAAGCTTGTAGAGATCTGATAGCAGCTGCAGTGTCTTCTGGACATTTCTCCACAGTTTTCCCCTCAAATTTGCCACAGCTAACCAGTCACCTATCAAGGGAAAAACATTTAATCCCCTCACTCTGTGATACACTGCCAATGGTACCGTACATCAGGGTGCTATTAAAAAGTCAAAAAGAAGCACCCTGAATTGGTATATTCAACAATCTAGGGTGAAACAAAACACGTTGAGGGTTTGATGATATTGCTAAGTGGAAATAGGGATCTTTCAAATCCACCACTGCAAACTAGTCTCATTCCTACAGAAGTGGATAGCTGCCAGCATCACCATGCTTAACTTTCTTATAAAAATATACTGTAATGGTTTATGTTCCTAAAGATTAGTAGTCTTGGGACCTCAGAGGACCTAAATGGAAATGATAACAATGATAAACAACACTTAATATTGTGTTTTTTTTTTCTTTTTTGCAATGAAGAATGAATATGAAGTGGAGATAAATTGTAAGGTGAGCAACACACACACAAAAAAGGAATAACTATTTCAAAGACAGAATACTGACTGTAAATGCTCCCAAGATACTGCTTAGGTGGTTAGAGGGAACTGCGGAACAACCAATGGGTATGGGTGGAGCAGTATATTAGATGAGAGGAAGGGTTAAAGTTCTAGATCTAGAATGTTACTGAGACTGATAGCAAAGCAGCAGAAGTACCCATTGTGTGTGTGAATGGGTAGAATTTATCATACAAAAATGACACCAGAAAAGTTTATCATGTGGACTACACAGAAATAAGAAATGGACTAGAAGAATTCAGAATGCTGTTAGTTACATTAGAAATGAAGGGTTTACACATCAAGTATATTCACCTCGTTTTTCAAGGAGAAACTAGTGTAACGATTTCAGTCTAGTCTGACACAGAGAAAGTAAACGTCTTTACCACAACGTACTATGAGCTAAGTACTCCCAGGAACTGTTTGGACTATTAAGTGTTAGTGTGGGAGGTGGGTGGGGGTGATAAGTAATATGTATAGTGGTCAATTTTAGGACAGTTTTCTAACAGCTGAGAGATGGATCAAAGAATGGGATTGTGAATTATATTAAAGCAGTGATAGGTAATGTCCCAAAGATTAAGAGCCACGCAAACCCATCCTTGGGCTTCCATACATGCTTCTGTAGCTCCCCCACACCATGTTCTTATAAAATCTGGGTTTCAAAATGAATTGAAAAAGTTCCCTTGCACTATGTAATTACCAAATGCTTTTTAAAAAGTTAAAAACAATTTTTAAACTGAAAATATGGAAATAATTCCTCTATCTCAGTTCTCCATAGGAAGAGTAATCTCATTAACCATCAGAGTGAGATGGGGAACATCTCACTGGACCATCTTTCCTATAAATCACTGCAGCAGCATTCAGGGAGCAGTGAGACTGAGGTGGCATTCCATACTTCTTGTAAGACAAAATATATGGAATGAAGAGGACAATGGCGATAGAAATACATCTCTTTTCCATCTTGGTTTCTCCTCTCCCAGTTCCAGAAGTCTTCCTGGGCAACTCTAAATGACTTCTGGTACTGAACATTCGAAAATTCTAAAAGTTCCATCCCTAACGAATATTAGGCAATTTTAAAGCACTGTATTTTAATTGTTTTATCTTTTAAACTTTTTATTTTATTCAAATTGTAAGCTGCCCAGAGACCTTTGGGTAGTGTGGGCGGCATACAGTATAAGTTAGTTAATTAATTAATTAATGCAGCCAGAAATATTTCATTTCTTTCAGAAATTCATGTGCTCTTCATGCAAATGTGCTGTATTTATTCAGACCAGGGTAGACATCTGTAGCACTTCAAATGTTTCCATTTAGTGCAAAAAAATTTTCACAGAACTAGAAGAATGGGCTTCTCTTTGAGACAGCTTAGTGTAAAAAAAAAAACTCAACAAAAAATTCTGTTTATTTTTTTTAAAATTAAGCAGGAAACTACATTCACTTTTGTTTATCTTCTGATATTTGAAATACCTCATATTCTTTCTCTGACAACCAATTAACAGTCTATTAATTCCTTATGGGAACTTTGAATTCCAGCACAGATAATCTCATCTGTTTTGTCTCAAATGGCTTTTGATAATATTATTTTTCACTTCCTACTACTTCTTCAGTCATGCGATGCTTCAAGATAGAGTGACGTTTATAGGCATTCTTTGAACACCACAGAACTGCTGAAAATGAATCAACTATGAAGCAAATTAATACTTAGGAAGAGCACTACAACAAATTTTCATGGAAAAGGATAGAAGACCTCAAGCCTGACATCCTACCACAACTCCTGAAAAGACAGCCTGTTAAAAGAGTCATACAGGTGGCGAGGATTTGACAGCAGCCTATAATATAAAAGTGCTTTGCCATTCACATAATGTCTGGAGTAATGAAATAAATCCACTTGCTGGCTTCCTCTAGTTTTCTCTGCCAAAGAACACTGTGTTATCAGCACAGATGGAGCATGCATAGTTCTGGAGAGGAGCCTGTTGCAAACTAGCTTCTCTGAATATCAATGAATCCTTGAGAATCAGACACGTGCTACTGTCAAATGACAGGTTTGGGACACTCGAAAAACTGAAGTAATCCCGGTGGTCTCATCTGACTGCATATACTGTCAAGCTTCCTGGACAAGAAGTCTAAAAGTGTTAGAGTCTTGACTGTTGTAGTGGGGTTAGATAATTGACAGGTGAAGAATGCCATTTAAGTACCCATACCTTGGAGAGCGTGATATGTACCCAGAATTGCTGATGTGTTTAAGTGAAACTGAAGACTTTTTTTTTGGAGGGGGGGAGAGTTGGGGGGAAAAAAAAGAAAAAAGAAAAGGATACAGGAAGATGAAACTTCTCAGAGCCTCACTATCAACCCAAAGAAGAAGGGATATTAACATATATAGTGTTCACTGCATATGTGAGTTGGAAATCTCACAAAGGAATCTAATACGACATAAATCAGTTAACTAAGCCAAAAAAAATTGCTCTGCCTCATTGTTTAACCTATCTCTTTGCTTTGTATGTGAAGCTAAAAATTAGAACAAACTTCTTGGATCTATATTAAAAAGTATTTAAACTAACAACCTTTAGCTTCACTAAAATGATTAACATGATATGATGCCTAGGGAAACCCTAAAAATGGAATACTGCTCACTCTTAACTTTCCTAGAAGTTTCCATCCATTACAGAAATGTAAAGCAACTGACACGAAAACATTAGGTAAGACCTTAAATATGCACAAGATACAGTATGCAAAGTATGTCATGACAGTATGGATTATGATAGGGAGGAGCCATAGGAGTTTTACAGAGCTGAGGGAGATATTAATATAATAATAATGAAGATCAGATCAGACGATAGGATTTCAACCTGTGCTGGACAGGGTTACATTTCCCCTGAAAATATAGGTTTGCAGTTTGGGTGTGCTCCTGGTTTTGTCCCTGAGCCTGGATGCTCAGTTCTTGGCAGTAACCAAGAGTAGATTTGCACATTTAAAAATAATGCACCAGCTGCACCCATTCTGGAGATGTCTCACCTGACCACAATGACACATGCCTTAGTTATATTTCATTTGGATTACTACACTTACATGGGGCTGCCTTTGGAAAGTGTTAGGAAACTACAGCAGATCCAAAATATTATAGCTAGTTAAGTGGATCTGGTTACAGGGATCAAAACCCCTTTTGCAACTGCTCCAGTGGTTACCGGTCTGCTTCTAAGCACAATTCAAAATGCTGCTTTTGATTTATAAAGTCCTAAATGACTTGGGTCCAAGAGACTGGAAAGCCCACATTTCTCTTTATGAGTCTGTGCAGGCATTAAAATAATCAGGGGAAACCTTTTTTTTTTATCCCACCGCCCTAAACAGGTAAGTTTGGTGAGGACATAAAAGAGGGTCTGCTCTACTGCTGCTCCCAAGCTGTGGAATTCCCTCTTCTGGAAGGTCTTTGCTGTCTTTCCACAGGTATACAAAGACCTTTCTCTTGACGCATGCTTTTTCTGCCTAAGAGTTGGTTGCCTAAGAGTTGATTTTTCCCCTCCCTCTCCAGTTTTTATATTATTTGTTTTTAATATTTCAAGCCACCTTGGGTTCTCTTGAGGAGAAAGTAGGGTATTATTGTTTTAAAATAATAATAAATAAATATAAAAATAAGAGGCATACCCATCAACAAATTCAGAAGTCGCTGGACCTTTGAACTCACCCCGACAACTCTGTAAAGTCCTTGGTCATTTATACCTGGTAAAGAGACAAAAGCATAAATAAAAGGCCTTTTGGCGATCAAATCTAGAGTACTGAAAATTAAAGCCCTGTTTCAAAATATACAAAGCAAAAATTAGAGATTACAAAGCATGCTACATTATTAAATTTATCAATACCACAAAACTGTATTATATAAGGGAAAAAACCAAAATGTTATAGACCACTGGTTCTTAACCTTGGGTTACTCAGGAGTTTTGGACTGCAACTCCCAGAAGTCTTCACCACCAACTGTGCTGGCTGGGGTTTCTGGGAGTTGCAGTTCAAAAACATCCGAGTAACAAAGGTTAAGAACCACTGTTATAGACTATCACATCAACATATTATTTATATACAAACACTGCAGTTCTGCATTATACACCAATTTTCTGAACTGCAAAAATTAAAGAAAGACATTATTAACAAATTTATCCTGATTAAGTTGGTGCTTTCAGTTAACATTGCAGTAATAATAAAGACCAAGCCAAAAAAACCATTTGTGGCTAATATTAATTTTTTCACTGTTATAAAACCATATAAAGTTACAGTTTTACATAGACCAATAAAAGAGCATTTATCATTATAAATAAGTAATTATCAGACATTTAGTGAGATTCACAAAATACAACAGCTAAGTTTAATTCTCAATAATGAATGCTATAAAATAAATAAAGTTACCACTATTTATTATGTGCACACAGAGAAACTATTAAGTTGTACAATAATTTAATAAATGGGCAATGTCAGTGTACATGTAAGGTTATAACCCTATGATAATTGGAAGTACATGCCGGCAGCCTTAAGCTACCGTGTTTCCCCGAAAATAAGAATGGGTCTTATATTAATTTTTGCTCCAAAAATGCATCACAGCTTATTTTCAGCGGATGTTTTATTGTTTTCATGTACAACAATCTACATTGATTCAAATACAACCATGTCATCTTCTGCTTGCTACAGAATGCTGCACAATGGTGGAGGGCAGGGTTTCACTTAACTGGGGCCTATTTTGGGGGTAGGGCTTATATTAGAAGCATCCTGGAAAATCATACTAGGGCTTATTTTCATGTTAGGGCTTATCTTTGGGGAAACAGGGTAGTATACAGATTCCTCTCAGCAGGTAAAGACCATCATTCATAGAGCAAGATAAGTCGTTTCTGTCACTGCTTTTCTGACAGTACTTTTGGCGGGTGGGGATGATGCATGGAAGGCATTGTTCAACAAGATCTTGGACTCACCAATTCCTCCCAACCCTGATTTATCTGGGGATAAAAATGACATCCGCTCTCAAGATGACAGAGTTACTTTTCCTTTATAAGGAAACTATGGAAGGGAGGAAAAAGGAAAACCAGCAAGTAGAATGGGGAAAAAGGGGAAATTTCCCTCAGATTCTGTCTTGCCGTCTGGCTGCATTTGGAAATAGCAGTTTCTCCACCACAGGTCTACTCTGTAAGTAAATCTGATTGTAGCTATTATTTCCTCAGTAAAAGAATGAACAGAGGTGGCTATTATGGGATTTTCCCAGCTTATTCTTTGCACTCCAAAGCAAATAAATTCCCCGTCTCTCCACCCATTCCATTGGGGCATGTTACTGGGAAATGTCTTTTAATCCTTCCATCCAATACTGTTTCCCAATGAAAATCCACATACCACCTGAAGGTGCTATTCGCTGATTACAGAAATCAGATTCAATGTGAATATCAGTAACCGGACCGAAGAATGTGGTTTCAACTGAGAAAAAAAGGGTACTAGGATGCTTAATACCAACAAGTACCACAGTGTTAACAGAATCCTCCTCATATTTCATCTATACAAAGAAAAAGAGACTGAGAAATCTTATTACATCTATTTTGGCCTTTATGGGGTCCCCAAAACAAGAACCACAACAAAGGTAGCCATCTGGGTCTATGAGGGGGGGAAAAACATCCACAGTTGGGCAATATCTTTACTAGGACAAACTGAAGTACCAAAAATATATAAGCTTCATACTTTTCCAGAATTGTTCATAAGACCTATATAAGAATAAATGCCGACTTTTGTTGATTTAACTACAAAAGTGTATGTTTATTTTGGAATCGGGGCATTCCAAGTTTCAGAAAATAAACTTTCACTCATGTATGTATTATTGAAGGCTGCAGAAGTATCAGTGGAGAAGCTCACCTAATCTGTGACATTTTCTTTTTCTTTAAATTAGGACCTTCTTCTTTCTAGGTAAGTTCATGCAACTGGACAGCAATTTAGGAATCCAATGAAAAGCTTCATCTATTATTTTCATCTGTGGCAGAGTGTTGTTAAAGGAAAGACACAGAACTTGCAAAAACCATGGCAACCCTAACAATAGATTTAAGTGGATTCTACTGCAAATGCTCACTATAGCAGACAGTAGGTGCAGACTATGTTTTCACTCTGAGATGACTTATGTTTTGTGTAGTACAAGCATAACTGGCAACTCCAGTGCATAAGAGTTAAATCTTATTGCATATATATTTATTTTAGGCTTTCCAGCCCAATGTTCTTCAGATGTTTTGGACTTTTTTTTCCTCCTGAAGGAAGTTTCTTTCCAGTTCTCACCAATGAAGTAGACGTGTCCTTGATCCAGAAATAGAGACGACAGCTAACTGCTGCCATCTATCTTCACAAAGATATACCAAAATATAGAAATTGCATACAATTCCTCAATGCAGAATGATTTCGAAGTGGAACAATCAATTCCCAAGAATTGATATGTTCATATTCTGTAACCTATTTGCATGTTTGACTAAGCCAAAAATACTGAGTTAATAAGCCAGAATACAAGTGAAGCCAGTCTTGTTCCTCCCTTTATGTGAGCTGACAGCCTTGAATTCAGCACCTAAAACTAGCTTCCTATAATACACAAATGAAGGAAAGATAGTCAGGCTCTTGCAAACAAGCTGTGTTTTGTGAACCAAAGCCTGGTGTACAGTTAAAATCCCAGCTAGTTCACAAGCATTTAGTTATAGTTCCAGCTGTGCATTTCCTAGGAAGTTGAATTTAAATGCCAAATTCACAGTTCTTTTCTAACTGTGAGAAGGAAGAAATCACAAGGAAAAAAATGATATATAGGTCCACAATACTCATTCATTAAAAATCTATATCATTAAAGCATGATTTTCTACATACTGTAATAATACAAATGCAGAAAAAAAACAAGGTTTTCTGGTACCATTTTGCACAGGAAACTTAACCTCCAACATGACAAAACTGTTTTCACTCTCTTTCATCCACATTAACCTTACATAAAAACCTGAGAGTGAGACTTTGAAAAGGCATTTCTCCTCTTTAGTGTTTTAATTTCATACAACTGGATTTATTAATATGTACTAGAAAAGTGCAAAATAATTATGGACAAGCTATTTTAAGGTCAAAGCCTTATACCCACTAAGTTGAAGGGTATAATTTTCTCCATGTTCACTGCACTGCTATACAAGCTAAAAGAAATCAAGAAAATCTTAATCCTACTTGCTCCCACAGAGTTAACTCCATGAAGATTTATCTTGTACCACAGGAAACAAAAAAGCTCTTGAGATAATTGTGATATGCAAAAAAAACACATCCCATTCAGTACTTAAAATGTTTAAAATTAAGGAGGCAGAAACGAATCAGGGATTCATGAATTTTGGGTGGCTGTTAAACAAGCTATGCTCAGACCTTAGAAAATATACTTTTTGTACTAGAGCTCCCATATCCCGCAGCCAGGCTATCAACTGGTCCTACTGATTAGGAGATTCAAGGAACTGGAGTACAAAACAAGCAACTTGTCCAAATTCTAGCTTGGAGCTTTCAATACAATCTTGTGTAGCCCTGGAATTTTCCATTGTGTTAACTGGAAGATAAATCCCCAACATACTGGAATTTAGTTCTGAAAGGGATTCATGTACCGGTCAAGCGTTGAATTGTGTCTATATGCAAGAGGAAGGAAAATCTTCTACTTCTTTGCCCCAGCCCAACATTGAAGTTGGAGAGATAGGTTGCTGGAAACCACGGAGCTGCTCTTGGGATCACAGCACCTTGCCAGAACAGCATAACTGCTTGCTTTGGGAACAGAAGAAATAGAGCAGGAAGCAAAAGAGAAATTGTTTGCTTCACTTTGCACCACTTCAGGAGGGTAAACTTTGGAACTATTATCTCGGCAACCACAAACAGAAAGGCATAACTCTAGTGCTGTCCAACTGTGAGCTTTCTTCCCCTCCTACCACTATCGCCCGTGCATCCCAAAGAGCAAATTCTGGAGGGGTTTCTCAGCTCCTGCCAAAGCAGGTTCATGAGTTGTAGAGGGCTCACCTCCTCTTGCTCTTGCTGACAGAAGCTGTTCTGTCAGTGAAAACACCTTACTGGGAACTACTTGATATATTCATATAAAATATTACATTAAAATATTATTTTTTAGAAGAATTAAAAAATTAAAAGGCCATCTTTAGACCATATATTCTGAATCTTCATTAAGATACCCTATAGCTCTCCAATTCTATTAGACATGCTGATTAATATAAAACAGAAAGTTAACATAAGGAAGCTTGATAGATAAATCACAGTAGTGACGTAAGGAAGGGGAAGGGAGTATACTTGAAAAAAGATTTTAGTTATTTTAAAAATGAAGCAGGATAAAGATGCTTTGTTTTCTAATTATTTCAAAGATTTTCTAAACAGGATTGAAAACTTACAACTGTCCCCATCTATACACACTCTCACACAAAAGCATAACAAATAAGCCCCTGACCTGTGAAGTTGTGATCTTTAAGCTTTCTTGGCCAGATGCCCCAATTTCTGTTGCCACCACCAATTCAGTCCAGGAATAAAACTCTAGGCTGAAGGAATGATCATCTATACTTGGAGAGGGGGAGACTTGTGGCCCCTCTGCCATTCATCAACTCGCCTAGATCTTCCTCCTGTACTCCCCAATGTCTACAGAGGACTGGAAGACTGGTGTCTTGGAGACCCGACTCATGAGTGTCAATGAAAGTTGGCACCAGAAATACTTGCAGATACTTGCAGTTCCCTCCTCAGTGGACTGGAAGGAAGTTTTCACCTGTTTATCAGAATGGAGGCCAGAACTCATCTAGGCTTTCCACACCAAAAGAGGAAATCCAGGGGAGGGGGGGGGACATCGTATTGTGCCTACACAAATTTGTACCTATTAAAGCAAGTGGAAAGGACAACCCAGGCTAAGTTAAGGATGCCCTCCTCCATCATAGGAGAATGGTATAACTCCATCCAATATATGCTTATTTGTCTTCTTGTACTGTGATATTGAGAGTTTGCCCAATATCATAACAAAGGTGATCTTGAAAAAAAAAAGTATAAGGCTTTAAGCAGTCATTCACAAAAGAACAAAGTTAAACAAAACATGTTATTTTTTCATTTTGTTCCCTCATCAGCCATTTCTTTATCTCCTTTTCAGCTTAACCATGAATCTTTCTGAATAAAATGGAGTTGCCATTACCTCTTGTTTCAACAGCACTGATGCATTTTCTGATTACTGTAAACCCAATCTTATCTAACTGTGCACCTAAAAGAAGAAACATTTGAAAGTATTTCAACTCCAATGACAGATCAAGTCTTTTAAAAACCAAAATACAAACATTAACTTTGCAAAATAATGCAAAGTTGTAATTACTCAAACTTAACACAAAGTATTTCCTGTAAAATCGATTTTTTTTAAAGTAAGAAATGAGACTTTAAAATAACGTCTTCCATTCTGATATCGTGCCGGACCATGGCTAAACTTTACATGAACAGGCTTCAGGTTGTCAGTTCCTCTGCCTGGATCTAACTACACTCTTACTCCCTCCAAGATTCCACTTTCTTACTGGAAACAGCAAAGCATCCCTCAACAGAGAGGGATTGGCTGTCAACCTTGAAGTTTTGGCATAAGATGTTGATCTTTAGCTTGGCCCCTTGCTACTACCTTTGCCAATGAGAGCTACAAAACATTTTGGGCAAAATATGTTTGTGAAAGTTTACACACAGGTAACAGAAGCTGACTGCTGCCCATTTATCTATGCCTATTAGACTTTATAATTTCAATGATAAAGTGAAGACTTTGGGATATTGCATTGCAAGAACATTTTACTTCCTCTTGTATGGCCTATTCATTTTCTTTCAGAATCCCTTACCAATCGTCCCCCTATTTGATTAATTTGTATGTAGCCCAAACCATCCACCCTTTCATTTAGCTCCTGTTAATATTTCACTTTCTCATCTGCTATATACCCAATATGTTGGTGTTTATCCACCTGCAAGGGTTACTGGCTGTGGAATAAGTGGAGCAAGTCTATATCCTGGAACTCACCAATCAATGACTTTTCCCCTAGTGGCCACTCTGCCTGCCCAATTTGCCCAGTCCTACCCCCGAATTTCTGCTAGTGGACAAAAACCATGCGCAAGGCATGTGGTGAGCCTCCATGACAACAGAGGCTTTCCTCTCCAGATCAACAGAAGAGAACAGAACTAGTGCCCCTTCTCACACAAACACCCAAAAGAGGCATTAGGTACATTTGGAATTCCAGACTGATACTGACATCCTGAAATGCTTCTAAAAAGTATAGCTGTCCAGCAGTTTTTAAAAATGATACTTTTTACTCAAATACTTACTTACTTCCCTTTTTGTAATAGCTTTATTCAGATTGAGAAAAACCTAGGAAAGAAAAATAAAGAAAAGTACACTCAAATATGTATGTTTTAAAACTGAAGGTGGGTGGGGAATACTTTTTCTGCTAAAGGTCAAAATAAGGTTTTTAAGAAGAAATCAGATTCTCCTTGAATCAAAATACAAGTCCAGTCATTCAACTTACTGGCTTCTGTATTATCTTTTGTCATTATACCTTTATTACTATTTCAAGTTTTTTCCTCTGGCTGCCACAATTTGATATTAATTAGAATTTATAATTTTACAAACACCCAAGGATTACCAGGAAAAAAGGCCCTAGGTCAGATAAGTCATGCAAAAAGTACTCCTCCCATTGACAGATGATTCATTGGATGTTTTGTTGATTCACAACTACCACTTAGCAGGAAGGAGATTTTACATCAGGTTGAAATATATACATTTATTTACTGATTATTGATAGTAACCCCTTTATTATTTTAAAAAAAGAGACATAATTCACACTGAGATGGAGCTGCTGGGTTAACAGTGGTCTTTTGCTCCTTATATGTGTAGACTGCACAATATGAGGAGAGCTGAAAAGCATGTAGGAGCGTGGGTGTAGTATAAGATGGCCTATAAGACAGTTTCTTCCAAACTCTAAACTGTACCATTCCTACCTGTAAAAATGGAATATTATTATGATAGGATAGTGTATCTATAGTTTATTTAAATCTAATTTCCATGGACACAACGTGGCCTATTTTTTTTGCTTCTATTAAAATGCCACTGCTATCAAGGCAATGCCTAATGTTTCCAACACAGAGATATAAACTGGATCTCTACCAGAAAGAATTACAATTTCTCTGTAATATTTGGGACGTGACTCATTCAATTACCAAAAGATTATCTTTTTACAAGTCCATCTCACTGATATTCTAATAGAAAAAATTGATCTAAGGTCACATCTGGAATAAATAAAAAAAATAATTATGGTGTATTAGTGCTGAACGCTCTAGTGATCCAATAACTATATAATTATGTGCCATCAGCTGCTTATGACTTATGGTGATCCAATCGAACAATCAATCAATCAATCAATCACCTCCAAAACATCCTATTGTTAACAGGCTCGCTCAGCTCCTGCAAACTCAAGACTGGCCTTCTTTTATTGACGCAATCTATCTCATGGTCTACCTCTTTTTTTTTTACTGTCTTCAACTTCTTCAAGCATTATTGTCTCTTCCACTGAATCTTGTCATATCATGATGTGCTCAAAGTACAATACCATCACTTTAGTCATTTTTTATTTCAAAGAGAGTTCAGGCTTGGTCTTATTTAGGTTCCACTGATTTGCCTTTGTTGGGTACAATCTACTTTTACACTTTTGTTCTATTAATCTGGCCTTCGGGTTCACTTTTTTGTTTCTAGATACACCTGCCAACTTATCACATTCACATGATGCAGTTTCTGTCTCACAATTTTATGCCAGATTGTAAAAATAATGTCAGAGACAACATCAGCAATATTCTATACAGCATGTAGAATGCTAATTGAGTCACAAAATTACAAAATTAATGGCAAAAAAAACCCAAAAAGAAAGTATGGGCATTTATCAGATTCTCTGATGATTTTCAGTGCCTCATCTTTCTGCTTCACTACGTGCACAACAACTACAATGCTTTTTAACTGAACTGATCCAAGAGGCAACAGCAAAGACATATGAGGGAGTGAAAGTGGGAGAGCTTTAGCTTGTTAAAGAAAGAAAGGGAGGGGAGGGAAGGAAGGGAAAAGAAGAAAAGAGTACAATAGATAACAGAGCAGCCAACTAGGTTCAAAGGAAGGAAAAGAAAGACGAGGAAGAGTGGAATCAAACCACTCATTCCTAATTTTATTAGGAATTAGTAGCACCTTACTGTTTTAAAATTTGCAGTGTAAGACAGTGATGGCAAACCTATGGCACGCGTGCCACAGCTGGCACGCAAAGCCCTTTCTTCTGGCACGCGACAAACCTTTTGAAGTGGCTGCAGCTGGGATTCCCCCTTTCTCTTCCTGTTCCGGGTCCTTTAACTTCCTGTCTGTCCCCATGATTCCCCCCTTAACTTCCTGTCCGTCCCCATGATTCCCCCTGAAACTGCCACTTCCTGTTCCGGTTCTGGTCTTCTGGGTGGCACGGCAGGAACTGGTTTCTTCCCCACCCCCTCATTTTGGGCACTCAAGCTGAAAAAGGTTTGCCTCCACTGGTGTAAGATGTCTATGCAAGGCTTTACTTCAAAATGCAGCAAAATGTATTTTAATACAGTGGGGTCTTGACTTGAGAACTTAATCCGTATTGCAAGGCGGTTCTCAAGTCAAAAAGTTCTCCGGACAAATCTGCATTTCCCATAGGAATGCATTGAGAACCATTTGATCCGTATCTGCTCTTTTCCGTCCATAGAAACTAATGGGAAGCTGCTATTCTGCCTTCGACCACTAGAGGGGGATATTTTGTTTCTTTTTTTCTTAGGCCAAGAAAGGTTCAGGGAAGGCAGGGAAAATCCAGTCCAGGCAGTACAGTACCAGGCAGTCCGAAGACTGTCTCCCAATCCACTCTCTAAACGCTGGGAGGAGTGAGGAAGCAGACAGGCACCCTTTTCACTGGCCAACAGTTAACTGAAAGTTCAAATTTTGCACTTTCCCTGCCTCCCACATGGTTTTTTTCAGTTCTTAACTCAAATCTAAGTACTTAAGTCAAGTCAATATTTTCCTATGAGAGTGGTTCTTAAGTCAAAATGTTCTTAACTCGAGCCGTTCTTAAGTCAAGACCCCACTGTAAATTAACAAAATGGATAGAACGAATAAAAGAAATGAGGGAGAGAAGCATTTAGGGCTCCTGTAATGCATTCTGGCAGCAGCAACGACCATCTACTTTGCCTCTGGAACAAAAATCTGGCATTGACAATGGCACTGACAGAGTCTATATAAGGTTGTGTGCCTAAAATTCTAAGATAAATATCAATACAAAATTATATCAGTACTTGCCACCTGATTATCCCAAACATATATCCATATGCTTCCATTCTGTGTTAAGTTTTCAATCTGCATTACCGTTTTGCGATTAGTGGGCTTCATGTCACTTTTAGGTCTCTACAAAAAAAATCTGAGAATTCCTGGCCTATGTTTTTTAAAAAATCATTTCTCAGCTTACAGCTTCTTTTCCATCTAAGGCTTCGAACCACATATTTCTGTCCTCCTCTGAGAAAGCTTGCAAAGTCATAGGCATCCCAGGTCTATAAAAGTAAAAATGATGAGAAACAATTAAACTTTAAAATTCCTAATAACCTTTCTACTGACTTCCAAATAATCTTGTCACGGGCACTTTGTAAATGCAACCTGCCCATCTTTGAAGAGTTCAAATACTCTCAAAGATGGCATATAGTATAGTTCATTATTTGACACATTAAAAAACATTAAATATATGTACTAGTTCTCTGTGCTCTTTGGATGAAGACTGCAAATAGAATCTGCTTGCTCAAATTATTTTCAAAAGATGCATTATGGCTCCTTCCCATAAGCAGGCAGTGTACATTGGCAACATTCAGCCACATTACTCAAAAATACACTGTGCACATATTGTTATTGTTGGCTCACAGTTACGTGCTTGAGCCCCAGACCTTCTTCTCACTTCTACTCTGTCATGGCTAAAAGGAGGAGACTGGAAGACCAATTTCCAGATTCATTGGTTAAATATGTGATTTTGCACATGCAAAAAACAATCATAGTGTCTAGTTATGGCCACAACTAGAGATGGGGGTATTCATATGCGAATATCCCTGCACAGGTGGCGTTAACGAAGGTCCACCCCCATGGGCCTGGATGGTCCACTCACCGATCCACCGCAGATGGTGCAATTCTATGAATAGCTCTGCAGCATGGGATCCGCTCCCCACTACTGGCAGGAAGTGGGAGGACAAGCCTCGCTGCAAGGTCAAAGAGTGGTGAGCGGATCACACACTGCGGAGCCATTCGCAGAATCTCGCCGTCTGCAGCGGATCGGTGAGTGGACCGTTCAGCCCCCTGGGGCTGGTCCCTCGTTAATGCCACCTGTGCAGGGATATTTGTATTTGTATACGAATATCCCCATCTCTAGCCACAACACTTTAGGAGGGTGGTAAACTATAACCGATTCACAAAAGGTTAACCAGATGATGAAGGGTTGAGAAAACACATCTGATAAGAAAAGGGTGAAAGGATTGGGTACATTTCACTTGGAGAAGAAAAGACTGAGGGGTTTTTGAGAAGCCTTTGAGAAGAGTCATATGCTGGATAAATTCAACTTCTAGATTTCCTTCAATAGAAATGGGGCTGCACAAGATGAACTATAAGACTTCCTTCAGCTACATTATCCTATATTGTAGCACCTCATTTTCAGTATTAGCTTCTCAGAGAAGCTTTTCTTGTACCACTTTTGTTTTCTTCTTAATATTAGATGTTATTTATTTTATTTTTTGGCAAGGGAAAGAGATAAGCGAGTTCCAAGGTTTTCATGTTTTAATCTGGTTTGGTGTTATCAGTTAGTCTTCACATACATGCTCCACCCCTCCCCTCAAAAACATAGACATTTGGGACAACAAACCCAGCATATGAAAATTCAATGCCCTGATGAACTTTCAACTAGCCACTTGTGGTCTTTGTTTTCTTGCACACAGCTATTTTATTTCTGTATACAGTGGTGCCTCACTAGACAATGATAATCCGTTCCACTGAAATCGCTGTTTAGCGAAATCATCGTCTAGCGAAAAGCATTTCCCCATTGGAATGCATTGAAACCTGTTTAATGCTTTCCAATGGGGAAGAATCATCGTCTAGCGAAGATCGGCCATAGGAAAGCCACTTTGCGAACCGCCAATCAGCTGTTTTTAATTGCCATGTTGCGAAAAACGGGCCTGAAAACACCTGTTTTGCGAGGATCGCCCCTAGGGAAGCCATTTTGCGAACCGCCGATCAGCTGTTCTAAATCGTCGTGTTGCGAAAAAATGGTCTGCAAAGCACGGACCAAATTGTCGGCCACCAAAATTCCCCCATAGGAATCACTGTTTTGCAAAGCAAAATGGCTGCCGCAAAAGTCGTCGTGCGGATTCGTCGTTTTGAGAGGTAACCATCTTGCGAGGTACCACTGTATTTGAAAAATATACACAGTCAAAATGTATCATACAGAAACACAACTTTACTATTTATATGGGCAACGTACCTGTCTACTACTTCCATATCAAAACAGAAACGCCTGTCTATAGTATCCGTATTTCTTTTGATACAGTGTTTAAGGAGAAAAACTTCCAATTCACCCTGGAAAAAAATCTTTCATTAAAACTTCAGTAGTAGACATTCATAAAATCTTCAGGTCATTTATCAAATAAGATAAGCCTATATAATACTGAAAATGTCAAATGGTGACATGCTTAGGAGTTCACTTACTGTTGCCACTCAGTTTGCCAAAACAAAATCATCCATCAATGCAGTAAAACTGTTGGGATCAAAGGCACTTTACATACTCAACACAAATTTTCACCAAGAACAGTTCCAACCATATATTTTGCTATCACACAGACAGAAAAACCAATGGAAGGACTGAAAATAGCCTACTGAGTTTCTTGCAATATTTGGCATAGTATCAGAAGGCCACAAAACTGCAATTGAGGCTATTCTCTTATATTCCTTACTTCCAATGAACAGCATATCCTGAAATTTTGGGAGGAATGGGGGCAGAAGATTACCCCAAGGAATATTAAATACTGCTGTCCAAAAAGGAGCTGAACAGTCGGTCCAATGAGAATGTCCAGATCCAGAAAACCAACATCTCAAACAGCTTTCACTACTACCTAAAATGGCAAACACAAACACTTTCAAAACAAAGGAAACAAAAGCAAAAAACAAAAACAAAAAAAGCATCCATTTTCCAAGCGGACATAGTTTCTGTATCTCTTAGCTATTTTCAAATAAATGTAGAATCCCTTTAATGTTAATTAAAAACCATAAATTTAAAAAACCATAATTATATTTTGGTATAGCATGTTCTCTGCTCCCTATAACCCACCTTGGAACATTTTGAATTGTTATCATTCCATTATAGCAGTTTACGTATTATGCTTAAAACAAACATTGTGAAATACACAACGATATGAGGCTTATCTGATCTCACATAGTCTAGTTTAGTGACAGAGCACAAAGCATAATGAAATATGAAATATACTCACAAGTTTTCCTCCTGACCTGTGTTCAAATGGTATCATAGTAAATTTCTTTGTCTCCTTCTTGTACATGCAGTAATGTTTTACCCAACTGGAGCCAAATGGTGCAGGTCCTTTAAAAAACCAATAAGAATTAGCTTCAGAATCGTTTGATATATATAAATATTTTACCATCTACAGGTATCTTTTTACTAAGCCTAATTTCTTTTAATATACTCTCTAAAAATCATTGATACTATGATGACAACTAGCACTGCAATTCTTTATTCATTGCATATATACCCTATTGTCCCACTAAAAATAGTGTTCAAGGCACCTTAGAAACACCTTTAAGTAGTCAAAATCCTGTTGCAGAAGTTATTCCTGTGGAAGGGTAATGATGTCACCAGCAGGGGGGGAATTTTGGTCATTAAAATGTTCCTATTCCTGTTGAAAGCTTGTGTGATATACATGTAATCAGCCTCATCATATATAAGAGGTGTGGGGCCCAGATAGAAGGTAGAACTCCTGAATTACAGAAAATCTCCCCCTGACAGTGATCACACTACTCTTCCATAGGCGTAATGTATGTAACATGACTTTGGTCATTAAACTGAAAATTAGAAACAGATTTTAATCTTGAGAGTGTAATGCAAAAGGACAAGTTCATTAACTTTCTTTTAAAGATAATTCTAGAATACAATGGCTACCTAAAAACAACATAGCATTTTGCCTGAATAGCTGCCAAAGCATCTGGGGGGGGGGGGAAATACAGATTCCAGTAAATGATCCCTTCAAATAATTTCAGTAGTCAGGCTACCTGGGACAACTCTGGGGCTTCATTGATGGTTTAGCCACCAATCTGCTTCTCTTATAGAGTGTTCTCCTTGGTCTAATGTTTTAATCTTAATATTGCCAGAGCAAGCTTGGGTGAACTGTTAGGATGCCTGGCCCACCTCAGAAGCCATTTGTGTTGCTCTATCTTATTCAGTAGAGAAGAAAAGAAAAGAAAAAGAACAAATTGCCCAGATTCTGTCTGTCTGGCAACTTTCTTCAAATATAGTGTACATCTTTACTAGATACAATGGTACCTAGCAGATATCTGAAACTAAAACACCACACACATAGTATCAGTTTTGAACAGATTAGGCAACATGATTCTCTTTAAAACACTACAGCTCCCATAATCCCTGACCCTGCTGTTGCTGGGTGGGGCTTACAGGAGCTGTAATGAAAACATTATTCTGTCCAACCCTCTGCACTAGCAAAGGGTTGGACATGTATTTTCTGGTTTCTATATCATAGTGGAATGTAGCATTTGAAACCAATTTGAGAGCTACTTCAGCTAGAATGCTGAATGCCTGGAAAATTTTTGCTATGGATTATATTTTTGCAAGCAAGCCATAAGGGGGAGAACTGCTGTTCAGGAATGGTTAATGTTATGCTTTTGTACCATTAAATATTTTGTCCATAATCATAGCATTTCACACCTAGCTACTGTATATTAGGGTATACAGTGGTGCCTCGACTTACGAACTTAATTGGTTCCGGAACTCTGGTCGCAACTCAAACTGGCCGTATGTCCAAGCACCATTTCCCATAGGAATGCATTGAAATGCAATTAGTCTGTTCCAGCCGAAGGAAAAATAATCACACACACACACACCAAAAACCAAAACAAAACACTGCAAGACCCATCGGAAATGTGATTAATCCATTCTGGCCGAAGCAGGGGGGGACAAACAAATCGTGCAAGACCCATCGGAAATGCAAAACAAGCAACACAAAAAGCAAACAAACCCTGAAAGACCCATTGGAAATGGGAGGGAAAACCCCAAAAAGCAAACAAACCCTGCAATACCCATTGGAAATGGGGGGGGACACCAAAAAGCAAACAAACCCCACAAGACCCATTGGAAATGGGGAGGGGCAAAAAACAAACAAAGACTGCAAGACCCATCAGCGCATAGAAACATAATCCCACAACCTAGCCCAAAACCATGCTGCAAAACCCACCCAGAACAGTTTTTAAAAAGCAGAAAGCAGCACCTTACCTTACCAGGCAGTCCAAAGCCTCCTCAAATCACACACTCTTTAACCGTTGGGGTGAAAGAGCTACAAAGAAACAGCCTCTTTGCCACCAACAGTTAGCAATTTGAATTCCCCCCCTTTTTTCCCTGCCTTTTTCTGGTTGTAACTTGAAGCTCCAGCCGCAAGTCAAAGCAAAATTTTGCAGCCGGAGCTGGTCATAACTAAAAATGGTCGTATGTCGAGACGTTTGTAAGTCGAGGCACTACCAATGCTAGTTGGCTTTTTGTTGTTGTTGTTGTTCTTTTAATATGCTGATTTTGCATTACATTTTCTTGAAAATATCTTAATTGGAATAAATTTTAGTCTTAAATTGTGACAAGAAGATTGAACAGTGATATAAAAATGTAAAGAATTAAATAAGATGTGCATAGACCTATGCCAATCGATTCTTTTAGATAAAGTATAAAGAAAACATCTATATGGTAAACTCTTCAAGTTATCAGAGTGCAAGCAGGTATACATAGTATTGTCAGAGTACAGAAAGCAATCCTGTTGCCTTCATTTAGCACGACAAATGAATCTGTGGAAACACCTAATGTATCCTTGGCATTTGCATTCAAAAACATCTCTTGCAAAAGTGAAAAAGTCTCTTACTTTTCTCCTGCACATAAAGATAACCTTCCAATGTAAAGAGATTAGCTCTTTTATGTTCCTGGGGATTTTGCTTGATTTTGTTCATAAGCTCTTCTACTTCTGACCTTGTTCCTTCAAAGCGATTTCTTGTCTACATAAGAAAATATTTTTAAAATTATTTTATGGCTAAAACCAGTAAACAAATATCTTAATAAGAAAGAAAATAACAGGAATATTATTTAGAAGTTTCTCAGTATCCAATGTTTTTAAAAAGAGAACTAGAAGATGGTTGTTGTGGGTTTTTCGGGCTCTTTGGCTGTGTTCTGAAGGTTGTTCTCTTAGGAAGAACAACCTTCAGAACACGGCCAAACAGCCCGAAATACCCACAACAAGTATTAGATCCCGGCCGTGAAAGCCTTCGCGAATACATAGAACTAGAAGATTCTATCATTTTATGAAGTTAAGATTTAAAACTATAGCAATGCTAGCTTTGAAGAGATTGCTCAAAATGGATAGTATTCACTTATTTCAGTGAGGATGGGGAAGCAGATGATAGAATAACTAATAACTTATTTAGACACTGCTTTGGACTGCTAATATAACACTGTCTCTCAACTATCAGAAAATACATTTCAAAGAAACTATAATGAACCTAGTGACTGCGAGAAAATATGTTCATGCATGCACATAGTCTTAATTTTTTAATTGTAATTAATATTACACTAACCTAGAAAATCAAAGTTGCAAAAACAAATCCTTAATTCATTGCCAGGCAAAACAATTATTTCATATCATGCTGATATTTCCTGGTTAGTAGTGGTCAGATGACAAGCTTTTCAAAACAACTCTATCCTTTAGATGGAACAAAACAAACACTAGCAAACACAACATATTCCAGGCAGTCTAACATAAATAAAAGAAATTGAGGATCAGTAAGAATTCTTGGAAAGATTCCTAATGGCTCAGATTTGAAGGACCATTAGAACAACAGCAAAAGCAAATAATATTAGTGCTGTTGTATGAATTATTGTGCAAGAAACATTTTGTAGTGCAGTGACAGTGTACTGGGTACCGTATTGTAGTATCCAAAACATGATAAATGAAAAAGATACAAATTAAAGTTTAGTGGACCATAAAAAGTCTTTTAAAAAGGTTTTGAGATTGGGATAATTTTTCTCTCAAGTCTAAAATAGCCCTTCAGTGAAACTAGGCACAAAATCTGCCTATGGATTCTTTTCCATCCATCCAATATAAAAAGCTAAAACAATGAATCATTATAATATTGAAACAGGATAAAATACATATAATATTAAATAAAGAAATATAATATTAGTGAAGGTAAAGGTTCCCCTCGACATTTAGTCCAGTTGTGTCCAACTCTAGGGGGTGGTGCTCGTAGAGCCAGTGTTTGTCCGTAGACAGTTTCTGTGGTCATGTGGCCAGTGCGACTAGACATGGAACACCGTTACTTTCCCACCGTGGTGGTACCTATTTATCTACCCGCATTTACATGCTTTCAAACTAAAATTACCGTATTTTTCGCTCTATAAGACGCACCTTTCCATAAGACGCACCGATTTTTTAGGAGAAGAAAACAGGAAAATATAATCTGTTTTCTTCGCTCCATAAGATGCACAGACTTTCCACCCCCCTGTTTTGTGGGAAAAAAGTGAGTCTTATGGTGCAAAAAATACAGTAAGTACAATTCTGCATTTTATAGAACTACCAATACACTGCTAAGGCACTTCATTTTCATTCTGCAGCTTCAATGTAACTAAAAACAGCATCACACATTAGTAACCAGAGATGGGGAACGAAGCACCAAACTTGATGACTCATGAACCATGAACCCCAGTGGCCCGATGAACCATGTCCAGGCCTTATTTCTTTTAAACAGTCCATGGGGCCATCTTAAAATAAAACAACCCGGTCCCCACAGCCACATGGACACAGGAAGAGAAGGAAAAGGATCAAACTGGAATCAAAGAGATCCCCCAGCCCCGCTGTCTTTGCAAAGGCAGCAGGGCTGGGGGATCGCTTGGGTCCCTCGTCCCTTCTCTTCCTATGCCAGGGAAAGGATCAAAGCCGGATCAAAGTGATCCCCCAGCCCACTGTCTTTGCAAGGGCAGCGGGGGTGCGGGAATCTCTCAAATCAGGCTACGCTCCACTTCCTATGCCATAGAGGAATAGAAGCATTCCCCCAGCCCCGCTGTCTTTGTAAAGATGGGGGGTTAGGTGGGGGATCACTTGGGTCCCCTTCACTCCTCTTCCTATGCCCTGGCAGAAACAGCAAGAGGAATGTAGCCTGATCTAAGTGAGCCCCCACCCCTGTTTGTCTTTGCAAAGACACTGGGGAGAATTCCTTTGGTCAGGCTTCCCCTGAGGCATAAGCAGATAGGGATAGACGAAGAAACAAATATAAAAGGGTTATATCCATTGCTTCGTATTTGTTGGGGTCTCTGGACCCCAAGAATACAAAGCAACGAATATCTGAGGAATCGGGGATATTCGTTGAATATTCCAACTCATTTTTATATTTGTCCCCATGTCTATTAGCAATCTAAACTAGATTCCTCAGTGACTGGCTACTGAATGAGATGTTTAAATGAATTGTTATGCATTACTGGTTTGAATATATTTTTAGTACTGATTTGGTTTACAACTTCTCAGAGTGCCATTTGTTCCTTTTCTATACTTTCTATACTATATTTCGATACTTATTGTTTTTAGCCTTAAGTATTGTCTTTTAATGATGTAAACAGACTTTGTATGCTCATTGTTTTTAGTTTTCAATATTGTCTTTTACTGATGTAAGTTGCCTAGATTCCTTTTTAAGCAGAAAGATTGGGCATAAACAAACAAACAATTTTTGGCTCCAAAATGATTTACTAAATTTGTTTAAATATGCAAGTATAAATTCTGTGCTGCTTGTTAAATGAATGAGAGCATTTAATAATAATTACCTTTGAACTGCAGAGCTGGAAAGGACCCTATGGATCATCAAATCCAGCCCCTCCCAAGGAGGTATGCACCGTGGGAAATCCCAACCTCTGGCTCTGCAACCAGAAACCTATGCCACTGAGCTATCTAGCAAGTCTATGCACCAACAAGTTACATTAACTGAACCACAGGTTACAAGTAACCATAATAAGAAAACCCTCCATGTAGATCATCATACCAGGAATATCAGTTACTGTATTACACAATGTCCAATAACCAGAATTATCTACAAAAGTATACCTTTCATATGATAATGTATGTTCCTAAAAACAAAAAAGCATATGAACAAATAATGTGCACATACACATTAGGTAAAGTTTTATATATCCATTTTGCATAGGTGAGATACACAATAGATGGCAGAAAAATTACATGAACAAGTGATACATCCTACAAGCCTGAAGATGGCATTACATCCTTTGAAACAACTGCAGAACATTAGTTTATATTACAGATTTTTTAAAATGCAACAGCATGAACAAGATATATACAGTACAATGTTTTAATGAAAAATAAGGAGTTCAAATTAGAAGTACCTTCACTTACATTCTGGATATTGATCTGCAGAGCCATTTTGTAATGGTTAAAATCTTTAGCAAGTTCATAGCCTTGATGGTAGAAAGTGAACATACCCTGGAAAAATGACAGGACCTAAAATACAAGAATTCTTTTTTAGATCAGCTAGGAAAGAATTTCCTTGCTTCTTAGTTTTCTTTTAACACATTTTCAGATGAAAGCTGCAATTCTGAATCTCCTTCATGGTAGTAAACCCTGCACGAAACAGTGGGATTTAATCCTTAATATACATAAAATTGCAATATAAATCCTAAAATCTTTCTAGCTAGATGCACTCACCATAACTTGATGCAGCATAATAAGGATGATATCATCAATTGGCAACATTGTTTTAATTTAATTTACAATGTCCTACTTCCATTGTTTTAGGTTCTGAAGCTCCCTAGGGTTCCCTTTTACCCTAAGGATGCCTTTAGGAGCTTGGGAACAGAGGAAGGGGAGATTTCTAGTATAAGAAAATTGTTGTTGAATCACCAGTGGTACAATTTTCCCATATGAAAGGCTCCCCCTTCTATCGCTGGATGATGATAACATCCACATTGCAGTGTAAAGGTGTGCAACAGGATTTCAGCTCATATCACAACATGATGCTGCAATGCAGTATCCATTACAAGCAACATGGCTAAATATCTTGGAGTAAGTTACCAGGTTCAAAAAAGGATGTACCATCCATACATGCAAACATGGCAGAACTTCATGTGTTTAAGCTTAGTTTACCATCTTATATATAGTACAGCCCCCTTATCAGTGACATCAGTATGCACTGATTCACTTATCCATGGTCTGAAAATATTAAAAATATTAAAAGAAAAATCCATATGCATACATATATAGTATACATACATTCCAGCTTTCTCTGTAAACTAGCATTCCATGTTTTCCAGCATTAACAGGGGGATATGAGGGTCCTATTGTATATAAAAAACTAAATCCAGTCAGTTTCTAATAAAATTAATTCAACTAATATTGCCTACATGGCCTTAGCATACACACATCTCAAAATGATGAGATGTCACCACATGGAAGAAGGTTCCTTGTGGCAAATTATAACGAGGACTTCTTCCATTATATTTTTCACATTTGCTTACCTTGCAAATGAAAATAATTTGGAGAAGACCTAAATAGATATAGAGCAGAGATGGGGTTATTCGCATTTGTATATGAATACCCCCCTACACAGCTGGAGTTAACTAGGGGCCAGACCATCTACTCAAGCATCCACTGCTGGTGGTGGCCCCACTCTTCCCTCCACTCACTCCAGTGTGCCCAGTTGGCTAGCAGAAGGAGGGAAGATGAGTCTCCCTGCAAGGCTGATGGTTTGCTAGCCAACCAGGCACTCTGGAGCGACTGGAAGGAAGAGCGGGACCGCCGACATACGCATGAGTGGACAGTCTGGCCCCAGAGGCCTGACGCTTGCTAGCTCCAGCTGTGTGGCGGGATTTGTATTCATATACGAATATCCCCATCTCTAATATAGAGCTTTAGAGCATTCTTGAGCTAAAATCTTGAATAGCACATTTTCTTTTTAGCTCTCTCCTACATGCAATTATACTTTCACCACTCTTGAATTCTGACATTTTCTTCAATAAACTTTACCATGGACTACTTACAGGTTCTACAAACTCAAACTTCTTTCGCTCTTGTATCTCCTGTAGCTTACACACATATTCAAGTGACAGTTCATAGAAATGTTTTCGATTTTGTTCCACTAGCACGTCTGCCTGCACAGCAAAAGCACTGCTTTAAAATTTACAAATCTGTACACAATTAGGTCCAAAGGTATACATAGTGTATAGTGCCACAATCCAGTAAAAAATAGCACAGGTATTTCAGACAAAACAGATAAAATTCGAAGAACATCCCAAGAAATTCCTTAATGCTAATTAGATTAATCTCTACATAGAAAATGAAGCATTTATTTGATGTAACATATGAACAAAACTAACCAACTAAATGGACAGGGAAGTTTCTAGACACTTCTACCTTTATACAGTGTCCAGAATCCTATTGCTGATAAACATGGACATAAGTCAAAATCAAAGACTCAAGTTAAGAAACTGATGCTTGTATTCCTCATCGTAAACCTACTTGTGTGATTAATGTACAACAACAAATACAAGCATTGACATCTTTGTTAGCAAAAATTCCATGGAAATTTATAGCATTTGATTTACTCTAGCAGACATAAGTAATAGAATTGCTGCCAATTTATGCTTCTATTAACTAACAGACATATAAAGCAGAGTAATGCAAAACGGTGAAACTTTTTACAAGGCTCTCCAATCAGACAGTGCAGTGGTTCAGCTTTTATTTCATCACCACTTCACAAAACTATTTTTCACTACTATTAAGTATTTAACATGTCTCCACTGTATTTACGCAGAAAAATATTAAACAAATATGCACGCTCTTGCCTGTAAATTCAATGTGCCTATGATATACAAACCAAAGGATTTTATATATAAGCAACCCCAGACTAGAATCCAATGGTGTACTTCTGCCAGACTCCACTGTTTCTACCAGAATCTGCACCCCTTCTCTCGTGCAGCACCCTATGTAAAATCTGCTCTCGAGTGCTGGCCAATACTCTGGAGCAAGTTGTGGCACCACATAGGAATGCAGCGGGAGAAGGAGGGGAAGGAAGTCTCTATTGCACTGGCATGGGACACCAAAATAGACCTTAGCCATAATCACCAGCTATTAATGTTTCCCGGTGAACGGGAAAAAAAGCTAGGTGATTAATTTTAAAATAAATCAGTATACTGAAATTACATTTACATTTTCTATCATCTTTGACAAGATGATACAGTATAGGTAATACCTCCAGTAGTTGGGCTTCTTTCTTCTTAGCAGACATATTTAAATGCTTATCTAGTAAACTGTAGTTCTTTTCTGTCTCTTTATCAAATTTCTTCTTTTCATCCTATAAATATTTTAAGAACATTTACATTGTGAAAACATAATACTGTAGCAAGCTTGTTTTTATTATGTTATCTAAGCATTTTTATCTAAAGCAGGACAACCATTTGATTATATCTTGAATTTTATTAAGGAGAACTCAACATTTTACATATGTATGTACACATATGCATGTATAAATGTGCACTGAATGTAGAAATAAAAATCACAATTAGTTCCCAGTTCCGTACTGTGCATATTTATTTTGGCTTTCCTTACAGAATTCTGAACAATTCTCACCAATGCTGTTTTAACTATACTAAACTAAAAAAAAGCAAAGAAATGAAATACACAGGAAGATAGTATTTATTGAGTTACAGTATCAACAGTCACAATTCTATTTATAAATGTATATATTAGTTTTGAATTTTTACACAAAGATCTTGACAACATGAGTATATCCAGACGAACTCCATAATGCAACACACACATATTATGCTCCAAATCTATCTCTCTGTTAAAGAAAACATACTAGTGTGAACTGAAACTTTGTATTTAAACCAGTTACTTCAATTCATTAAATCTGCATTAACGTACAAGTTGACAGAACAAGTTTTATCCATTAGTAATGTATGATAATCTGATACTTGTCAAAGAGATGGAAAAATCAGTATGGTTCAATTTCTTTATGAACCTGGAAAAAGATATGCCCCCTATTTCTTTATGAACTAAATTTATAATGCATTAAGGAACAAAAACCCCAATCTGCTCAAAGTTAAATATGACCACCTTCACTCCCCACTCCAAAAGACATACAATTAAAAGGAACTAGAAAAGCCAAAAGTTAACAGACCTTCACAGCTCCAAGCTGTTCTTTTCTGAACCTTTCAAGAGGCTTGATCAGAGTTTCTGTAACACTAAGGGCCTTCCAAGGGAGGGGGAAAAAACAAATATTAGCCTTTCAAGATTATACAATGCACTAATAAATATTTGAACACATTGTATGGTTGATATTATTTCAAACGCCATATTAACCTAATTCTGAATTCAACAGCTGTGTTGCCACTGACTTTAGGAAGACTCCAAATGTTCACATACATTGTTGCTTCAGATAGGAATATGTGTTAGACTGACATGAAAGCCATCCCATAGCATATACTTAATGCCATGTGACAAGACCACTATGGGTTCAGATAGTTGCAGAAGAACTGATCCACACACAAACAGCCAGGCTCACCTTTTCAGAATTAGTCTTGTCCTTTCTTAACCATGATGCACATTTGATATTTTAAAAGAAGGGTTTGAAAATTAGTTTGTTTTAGAAATCTACAGAGGAACGTTGAATATAAACACATATATCATTATGTGTACACCTCAATAGCCCTGGGATACATTTAGTAAAAGTACGAAACCTCACTATCTCCCTAACACGTTTGGTAGCTACAGAAAGAAAAGAAGGGACAGAGCATTCAATCTCTTCTTGTACTCAGGACAGAAATCAAGCAAACTGTCAAAGAAGCAAAGCTCCCTCTTTTGCACTCAACATCATAATACATCAAATCCACTAAAATAAGACTTAATCTGAAAATAAGTCCTAGTATGATTTTCCAGGAGGCTCGTAATATAAGCCCTATCCCAAAAATAAGCCCTAGTTAAGTGAAACCCCGCCCTCCACCATTGTGCAGCAACCAGAAGATGACATGACTGTATTTGAATAAATGTAGATTGTTGTACATGAAAAAAATAAAACATTCCCTGAAAATAAGCCCTAATGCATTTTTGGAGCAAAAATTAATATAAGACCCTGCCTTATTTTCGGGAAATAACCCTACATAGTTAGGAACTCTTTTTACAAGCTAACAGTTTGGCAAAAGAACCCTACACAATTAGGAACTCTTTTTACAAGCTAACAGTTTCTGTAGGCTCATTCACAATGACAAAACTATGCAAATACTAGATTATATCATTAGCAAATTGACACCAAATTAAAAATAACTAAGACAAAGAAATGTCATGTATGCTTACTATCACCTTATACACATATATGCATGCTTGCTTAAAGAGAAAGAAATTATGTCTATATGCAACAGGTTCAGACCATTATGACTGAAAAGCTAAATGTTGACTGTAAAATTTCAAAATTTAGTAGTCAGTATAGCTCTTTAAACTGGAACATCTGGCTGAGAAGCCAGGGGACAGGAATTCAAGCACCCATTGTGCTTCCTGGAAAGGGGGCCAATCGAGATCAGATGGAATGTGTTTAACCAATGGGATCAACTGCCCTGTCACTTGTACAGCCATGGGCATGTTGTATGTTCTCAGAGCTCCACCTGAAGAAGGGACTGGTGAACTGCTTCTGAGAACTTTAGAATTAGAAAATCCTAAGGCACATAATAAACTTGACAATCCATTATTTTCATTACACTATACAGTACTTCATCTCAGCATTGCTGGTGTATGTGGGAGAACCAAAGAGTCAAGCCTAATAATTAGGAGTCAGTCCTAAAAATTGTGAGGATGAGATGACATGTTTGCAAAGTCACTCATTTTTGGATTTCAGGAAGGGAATTGTCAGCTATTGGCAATTGTTTTAAACTGATAACCAAAGATTTCAAAATGACATGATATCTGGCAAAAAGAAAACAAAAAGAAAAAATAAAGACAACAAAAACGTTGTGGCACCTTAAAGACTAACTGCTATATTTTAATCTGAACTTTCATGGATAAATCCACTTCCTCAGAATGACTCCAGTTGCTGAAATTAGTACAGTAAGGAAGATGACCTGATGTTGCTTCTATATTCTTTTAATTTCTTGCTTTAATATTCAGTATTTAGGAATTTTTGTACTTTCTGTTGTTTCATTTTCTAAAACTGGAGGTGGGTAGAATTTACAATATAGAGAGAAATATTGAGTAATCTGTAAAATTTAGCAAACTGCTGAAAAATCATCTTTGCAACTTGATTATGCTTGTGAATATAATCCATTGGTGTTAGCTTATAGCATCCATGGTATGAAGAATTGTTTCTTCAGATTTATGAAAGGCCCTACATACAGTATATCACTTACACCTTGCTTCACATTATTCTTGTTGTTGTTGCTACTGCTATTACTATTCTTAAATGAATATTATGAAATGTATTCTATGCATAGTGTTCAAGATTGAACTGCATGCCGCAATAGTCAAACAATACAGTGTTTTATGTTTAATTTACGGTAGTAATACTTTTAATACTTTGTCAATATGTATTTTTAAAAATCCACAGCTCTGGGCTCACTGTGAATAAGGAACGTGACCATAGTTTTATCTCAGACATTTTTTGAAATTCTTCCCACGACCCGCATACTGCTCTGTGTTCCAGTTTAAAAGAACATTTTGCAATCATTTCACTGGCAAAAGAACAACTAATTTTAGCGTTTACAAACTTACTTTAAAATATTTTTAAAGGAACTACACAAAGGAAACTGGGCTATTTATTCTAGCACAAAATTCAGGGTTCCTCTTTGATACTGAAAATATCAAGAAACATATATTTTAGATTGAATCAGGTCCTCCGTAGGTTTCATTAATCCAAATGGGCCTACCATAGTTGTGGTTTACTTTGGCATAGTAAGTCACAACTAGAATAGTCCCATTTGAATCAATGGAAACTACGGAGGAGTTGACTCACTAAATCCCCACTGATTCAGGGACTTACTCTAGTGCAATTTACAGGATTTTGGTAAGTGTTAAAGAACAGTTCTCACTGATGAAATATCAGTATTATTTTACAAAGAAAGCACATGCTTCAAATTTCTCCTGATTGCTTGCTAAGAATAATTCTTGGAATTTTGGTTCTTTACACTTACTCTAAAGGTCTTATTATGACTCAATAACACCTTTAGCAGAAGTGGAAAGATTTGGACGTATAAATACATAGGTTCAGAAGAGTAAAGTATTAATTAGAGCTTCTTAAGAAGCAGATAAATGTGTTCCAAAGAAGCTATTCATTTATATTCTAAAATTTAAGAGATTTGGCCCTATATGCCAGCTTCAACTCAATGGAAAAAGGTAGGATATAAATATAACTAGTAAACAATTATAATAAATAATAATTAGCTACTGGAAAACAATATTCAAAACTATTTTCTTCATGATAAATGAACTGAACTAAGAAAATGCATCCCAGCTTAACACTAAACCTTATATGCTGCATTCCTCTTAATGAATTCCAGAAACTGTTCTGTAATGCTAACTAGCTGAACTTTACTTTTTTGGATTCCACTCAAAAATGTCCCTTGGGGGCAAAAATGTCCTTTGTGACATGCAGCTTTAGAAGCTGCAATAAACATTGTTGTTTATTTTACCAGAGTTATCCAATAATAATTTGTGGGAATTTCTAAGTTGAGCCCCCTCTTTTGCCTTCAAAATGTACTAATCTTTTTTAACATTCCACTAGAAGAAACAACATTAACAAGCAAAATGTAACTCAGTTGCTGATAAATTGATACATGTCAATTGAACTAATATAGCACAAAGAATGACATCTGTACAGGGATATTTTTTCCTAAAATGGTCTTTGAGTTTGTGGATATTGTCGCAATGAGACTTTAACAAAGTAAACAAGCCTTTAAATCAAAGTCTGTCTGTCTGTCTGTATTATACAGCCTGAATAAGCCACTGCAGGGGCATTCATATATTCAACTGAAGGAGCTATCTTAAATAGGCCACTCAGTGCCATGGGAAGAGAGATGTATTTTATTTATTTATTTTTTGTCTAGTTAAGGGTAGAAAAAGTATAGCCCTCGAGATACTGCAGTTCCCTGAATTTTTTGTCACTATTTAGGCTGGCTATACTTAAGAGATTGGCAACCCAATATTTGAATGGCAACACTGTGCTCTCCCCACGTCAAAGTGAAGCAGTGAGGATAAGTGCAATAATAAGCAGGGTTAGGTCCTCCAAATTTATATTCATTCCAGCTAAAACAAAAGCTATGTTGCTAAGTGATACAATGAGCTGGATTAATGATGTTCACAATGGGTTAGATGGGGCTGCATTCCTGGGGTTCTCCTTTATCAAATGTTGCCATTGGAGGTACAAGCCACCTGTACACTAGGAAGCACTTTCTACTAGCTTAGGCTAGCATCCTTACCACAACCATATCTGGAGGAGGATAATCTGGCCTTCCTGAGCCTTGGGCCTGGTACCATCTATATTATACCACTGTGAAGTATTATAAAAGGGGATGGCTGTGTGTTTACTTTGATGTATAAAGATTAAAAAGAACAACTGGAGAGGAAGAGGATCCTCGGGACCACCTTTGTAATTTTGACTTATGATCAAAGTGTCACAGATAGGCTTTTACAATTCTGGCCTTGATCCAAGTCATGGGAACAATATATCCTGACAACTCATTCAACGGAGCATATGCAGAATGTTTGCATTACTGCACTGTAGAATGATTTGAGAAAACATATAACATGAAATATACTCTCATTTTCTTCCTTTTTCTGCAATAAGTTCTTTTAAAAATAATTTTTTAAAAAGTTTTTAATAATATCCTGAGAGCATCATATTACTTCAAAAAATTAATCAAGAGGTAAATTTTCTACATTAAGAAAATGTTTTTTCCTACGCTTGCTTTTCAATATTATAACTTCTTTTAAAGCTGAATCCATTTCCTTGAACTCAGACAATAAGCCTCTTTTGACTGTACAAAAAGAAAGGTGAAATAAAGATAATTAATGAATTAACTAGTGGTTTACATCTTGAACTACAAAAAAAAACATTCTTCCTATTTTAAATTGAGTTTAAGCTCATCTATTATTTATTTATTTATTTATTTATTGGACTTATATACCGCCCCATAGCGCTACAAGCACTCTCCGGGCGGTTTACAATTTTCATTATACAGGCTACACATTGCCCCCCCAGCAAGCTGGGTACTCATTTTACCGACCTCGGAAGGATGGAAGGCTGTGTCAACCTTGAGCCGGCTACCTGGGATTTGAACCCCAGGTCGTGAGCACAGTTTTAGCTGCAGTACAGCGTTTTAACCACTGCTATTTTGAACTACAAAAAACATTCTTCCTATTTTAAATTGAGCTTAAGCTCATCTGCATCTGTTTTCAAATAACTACCTTAACTTAGAGATTTAATGAATTAAAATAGGAAGAATGTTTTTTTTGTAGTTCAAAATGTAAACCACTGCATCTGTGTTCAAATAACTACCTTAACTTAGAGATTTAATGAAAAATGAAATACCCTATGAAAATAAATATTTAAGTGGTTAAGATTACAAACCATATGAGACAGAAGTTTTTCCTTAATAGAGAGACATTCTGCTGAGGAGACATGCTAAGACATTCTGCTACCAGAGGTGATGATCAAGAATAAGCCACTCTTCTGTGACACATCTAATATCTGACCAGACTGGCTGCAGCACTTTACTTCAACACTGCTGTTGGATCAGCAGCATCAGCTGCACCTGAGTGTGAACAGGATCAGGCAAGTCACACGGCACATACCAGTCTGTCTTCCACCAGCTCATCAACAGTCCCTTTCTCCTAAATCTCATGCCAGATCTAATGAAATGATCAACTTATGTTTTTTGATATCATGAAGAATATCGGAGGCTTATGTCTGTAAATAAAAAACAAAATCTTCTTCTTTTGCCTCAAACAGAGACTATTTCAACCTGTTCTAGTACAATAATTCAAACAGGAACGTCTGTCATCACCACACCCTTTTGTTGAGTACACAGTTCGTTATTCCTTCCAGGCAAAACATATTTTTTTTAGGATTATATCTGTAATTTCTCTCAATTTTGATGATGATGAAGTGATCACACAAAACATCTGTAACTAAATATAGATGTAGGAAGGTCCATACCAAGCTTGCACAAAAATCACGCATCCAGCAAGTATGATAATTATTAACAATGCTCTATTCAGTTGCATACATTCTTGCAGAATGTATCTATTCAGGCAGCCTTGCTCACTAACTCTTACTCCACTGATCATTGCATAATTCAGGGTGTAAAGCACCCTCTTTCAATCTGGTGCCCTTCATGCTGGCTGGAGATGAGAGAGGCTGCGGTGCAACATACATTAAGTACATTAAGTAATAGACATTGCTACAGAGGAATAGCCTTTGGTCAGGTTGTAGTTCCCTAGATGACCTCACAGTTCTCCCTACAATGTTCACCCTTTACAATTTCCTATCCTATGATACAAATAGATAGGAACAAACAACCTCTATAACAACTCTTGCTGGCTTACTCACTGAGTGCCTGAAGTAAGACATTTAATATACAAAGTCACAAACAAAAGTAGAAGCAGCCATAAAATCCAAAATCCAGAGTAGGATACTGGATCAGGCCTTTCTCCTACCCTCTTTCGCCATACCTTACTCTTGTAATATCTAACTCTGAACAGTTGATATCTGTAATATCAAATGTTTGCTCAACTATCGACTGAAATCCTATTGGTAAGGTTGTGTTATGCAGTGAGGATAATGTCATAAACCACAGCTCTGCTGCAGCAGTTTCAGGGCAAAAAAAAAAAAGCCTCCTAGAACCCCCCCCCTCAAAGTTTTTGGATCCCTAAAAATCCACTTCATCTTGGGGCAGCCTTCAGGAGCTAAAGAATAGAAGGGGAAACAATTTAAAGCCACAAAATTGCTGCTGTTGGTCCCATTTCCACCAGTGGGACCAGAAACAGTGATTTTTCAGGTTTCCCCTGTTCTGTAGCTCCTAAAGGCTGTCCCAGGATGAAGAAGATCTGTAGGCATCCCCAAAAACTAGGAAGGGATTGGGCAAGGTTTTTTTATTTCTGTACAACAGATGCAGTATGACTGCAGCTGACAACATCATCCTTATTGTGTGTCATCAATTTGTACAAGATTTCAGCCACTATGTGGTTTTTTTGGGGGGAGGGCTAATAAAGATATGACCCCTACACACAAAGTGGCTGCTTCAGATCCAACCTGCAAATAGGTATCTTCATGCTCTCTACTGACATATAACAAATGTAAATTCAGAATCCAAGGAATTATATACTTAGAAGATTAACAAAGCCAAAAGTTACTCTGCTTGAACAACAACTTTTGGAAGTTCTTGTACAAGCAGAAGCAGGAGAATTGGCACTATAACAGCAGTTTGCAATTTTCTGCTGCTGCAAGTTTTTATGGAACAGTGTTAATAGCTATTTCTCCTGCCCATTATTTGTTGCATACACGATTAGTGTAATAGAAGTACACAACTATACACTGCTTCTTCCAAGATGCATCTGCCAAAATCTATTCTATGCATTATGCCTCTGCCAAATGCTACAGTACTTTATAATTAGGAACCAGGGAAACCCTGTCTTACCATCCACATTTAACTGTCCAGAGAGAAAATCCAGAACAACAAAGGCAGACGGTGGCCCTTGGGCCACATGCATTCCCCATGATTATTCTTGCAGCCCCTGGCACCACTAACCTTTCCATGTCATAGCATGTTTTCTCCAACCACTCCCCAACAAAGAGGTAAGTTGCCATCCTGGAGGTTTTCATGACCAATGATGCAGCTTTAGATAGCTTGCAGGATTACCTCTCAGGGACCCCAGAGTGGAAAACTGGCCTCTAGACTAGTTCCTTTACCAAAAAATACATCTACCCAGTGTCAGCTGCCTTTGAAATTTATTAAGTCACTCAGTGTATTCAGTTGACTATTCACTTTTTTCCACAATGCATTTCTGGAGCAATGCATTCTTTGATTGGTTGGTGTCCTTAATTAAACATTATATGCAATACTTATTTTATCAATTCCATCCAAAAAAATTAAATGACGTTCTTTTTCCTGAACTTTCTAAAACGTAGACATGGAATTTCACATGCTTTAAGCCCAATGTGGGCATCATATTATTTTGAGCATTTAAAAAACAAAAGTTTAGAAGTAAGGCCTAAACAGGAAAGCTCTTAGCCCTACCTCCACCCAAGCTTCCTGTTCTTGTTCTGGTACTGACTGGGAGCTTTTTTTTTCAACAGGAAGCTAGGCAGGACTCAATGCTATTTAAAAATTTTAAAACTTTCAAGAACTCACCATTATTTCTCTTTGTTCTTCTAAATTTTTCAAAAAGTTAGAGAATTCGTGGAGGGCTGCATCTGTAATAGAAATGAATATCAGGTCACTAAATACTGAAAGGAAAAAGGAGAGTAAAAATTAAAAGATAATTTGGTATCATCATGATGACAACTCTCATACCTATACACCGTTCATCATCTGTTTCAGCATCTCCAATACATTCAAATCTAAATTCTCTCAGCGATCGAGCAAACTTTCTTTGGGCAGCTGAAAGATCTAAAAATCAAAAGCAATATGCAAAATTGATTATCTTCAATTCAAACAAAAACCTGTATTAATACTTAGTGGCCCGAATCCTGTTTCTGCAGCTCTACACATGCAAGACTGATTTTTTTTAAAAAAGGCTAAGGTTTATTATGCAATTAAAGGTTTCCTGTCCCACCCCACAACCCCAGATACCAAGCCTCCCTAGGGATCCTTTTTCAATTTAGGATCCTCTTACTAGCCAGTTTCATTTAATCTAAACGTAGATGCCTGGAATTGTGTTCAAACATCTTACTAAATGAAAACAGAACTTTAACTTTCATGAACAACAATGTGTTTTAAAAGAACATAGGCTGAAAATTAATATATGATTAGACTAGCTCATACATAAGTCTTCATGACAAGATAAAACTATGATTTGTTGTATAGTAACTTCCAACGAGCAGCATCAAATATCCATACTGCTGAAACTCTACATAGGAACAAGAAGTCAACTAAGAATTAAATACATATCTTAATATAATTCCTTCATACCAAAAAAGTACCATTGTTTATAAGTGATAACTATGATAGGGATAGTGACTAGCATAGTGAGGGTCAAAATTGTGGCACATATGATCATACCATTCTAGTAGTTGCAGTATAATACACACTCAGGCCTACATGCCTTAAAATTGTCATGAATGTTTTAACTGTTGAATTCACTAACACGTTTATGTTTATATAAAATATTTTTACCCTGTCTTTCTCTTTAAAAAGGACCCAAGGTGGCTTACATCATTATTTAAAGCTAAAAACATCAAGTCTACAAATACTAAAAAGGATCAAACAAATGCCACACTAAAAGACAACAAACAAAGCATTGCCAAAAACACATTCAAAGCCATAAATTATAACCATCAATTTAAAATCCCACTCAGGCAGCCAATCATTAAGAGAAAGCTCATCTGGAGAGGAAAGTCTTCATCTGGTTGTGGAAGAACAGTAAAGATGGGGCCAGCCTAGCCCCCCATGGGAGGGAGTTCCAAAAGCTGAGAACAGCAACAGAGAAGACCCTGTCCTGTGTGTCCACCAAATGCACCTGTGAAAGCAGTGGGACTGAAAGAAAAGCCTCTCCTGATGATCAGCAACTGCATGCTCATAACGGGAGACATGGTCTTGAGACAGCTTGGATTCAAGCCATTTAGGGATTTATAGGTTAGAACAAGCACTTTGAATTGTGTCCAGAAACAGACTGGCAGCCAGTGGAGCTGCTGTAACAAGGGGTTATGTGATCCGTATAACCAGCCGCAGTTAGGCTGCCATATTTTGAGCCTGCTAAAGTTGTTCTGACAGTTTCCATCCTGCACAGGATGATTATATAAATTAATGGAAGTCGGTTCAATCAATGGCTAACAATGATTATGCTTATTTATGCCCATGGGAAACATGAAATGGAAGGGGCTGTTAATCCAGCATGGTTTTTCTTGTGTACCTAAAATGTACTGTATTTTTCCATGTATAAGGCTATACCTTTGTCTAAAATCTTCAGACTAAAATTGAGGGTCGTCTTATACATGGAAATAAGCTGAGGAGAAAAAAAACAGTGGAGGGGAATGCAGGGATCAAAGTGCTCCTGGATCGCTTTGATCCGTGCTTTCCCCTCTGCTTGCTAAGTCCCCTGGGGCTTAGCAAAAAGAGGGGGAAGGATCAAAGCAATCCCGTGGCTGTATAAGGGGGAAAGGGATCAAAATGATTGTGCAGTCATGGAATTGCTTTGATCCCTTTCCCCCTCCTTTTGCTAAACCACATGGGGCTTAGCACTAAGGGAGAAAGCAGGGATCAAAGCCATCCTGCAGCACTTTGATCCTTTTTACCCTACATTTGCTAAGCCCCACTTAGATTTCTTAATTTTGGGTTAGAAAAGTGGGGGCGTCTTATACATGGGGGTCTTATATACAGAACAATATGGTATCTCTTGCCTGCTAAACCAGCAAAAAAGGGGGAGCACAACAAAGAAGATTGGATTATGGCTTGATTCTTTTCTATAGTACCAAACTATGATTTGGTACTATAGAAAAGAGTCTAGAAGCAACTTAAGTATCTTCCCCGCTCTTTCCTCTGCATGCTCAAAAGAATGAACTGGCTCACTTAATCCAGGAAATTATGAAGCATATCTGACCTGTAAACCATGATTTGACCCTGGCACACAATCGTAAATTATAGCTTGCCAGAAAGCAGAAAACACTTAATTACTCCAAGTACAAGTGGGGAGAGGAAAAGAAAACAATCAAAGTTCTTTCCAAGCTCATTCTTTTAGAACAGTGTTTCCCAACCTTTTTCTTTGAGTCATGAGCTCCCCCCCCTTTTATAATAGCCAAATAACCAGAGACCCTTCCACCATATTTGCATATAAAGGCATTTTAATAGGGTAAAAATACACATTAAAATAGTCTTTAACAATAATCGTGATCACAGAGACTGGCGATACGTTGGGAAGAAAAACCTCCAGAACATGGCCAAACAGTCTGAAAAACCCACAACAACCATCAGATCCCGGCCATGAAAGCCTTTGAGAACACACTGAATATAAAGAATTGGAAAAACTAACAAAGTACAGAGACCTGGCAATCAAAACATCTCAACTCTGGAAGAAACACACTTCAGTGGTCCCCGTAGTCATTGGGGTTTTGGGAACTATATCAAGAAACTTCACACAGTACTATAAGCAGTTGCAGATCTCATAAATCAAACAATCAGAGCTACAAAAAATGGCTGTATTAGGAACAGCATACATAATGCGCAGATATTTAACAGATACAGTACTTAGGTTTTAGGTATCCCATAAGGGAGTCCCTGGCTCTTCTTGGAAGCATTGTTGTTGCTCCTTTTGCCTCTTACACTTCCAGTACCTCCTTTGTGTTTTTTTTGGGGGGGGGGATGGCTGCCCCGCTGGCCAGTGTCTCCAGTGGGCTGTGGGGAGTGGAGATGTGTGAAAGGGTAATCAGTTTAAAAATGCCCCTGCCACAACCCCTTCCACAGGGTAGATGGATCTGCACAAGCACCTCTGTCTAGGGGTCCTCAATGTAGGTGCAATTCACCACTCCTTCAGTGCACAGGGCTGCCCCCAGCTCCTCTGTGGTGCCCCTTTAGATCTCTTCCTCCTCGGACTTGGTGGCCTCTTGGTTTTCAGTCTCAGTGCCCTCCTCAGTATCCAGTACTACTTTTCCCCTCATGCAACCTCCCACTCTATTTCCATCTTTCCCTCCATTATTTGCCACAGTTGTCAGCTTGGGCCCACCCTCATCTTCTCTCACAGGTGGGTCCTATTAGCTACCTCCTCCTCCCTGTCCTGGTCTAGCTGACCTGCTTGTGCATCCCCCTGAGGCCTGATGGATGCTATCTCTGACAGGCCATCCAGGTGGTACACCGTGAGAGCAGAGGCTCTGAAGGCAACAGGTCTACAGAACAATCCCACATATGTTTAATCAGAAATAATTTTAACCATGTTCAGTGAAGCTTACTTCCAGGTAAATATGCATAGGACTGTGGACTAAGAAATAGTGGCCAAAATCCATAGCTTTTAGAGACAGATTGCCTAAAGTTAAAAAAAATCAGCATACACATTACCTGTTGTGCACTATGTTGTGTGACTCAGCACGCAGCAGATAATGTCTATGGTGATTTCTTAGCTTGAAACAATTTGCCTCCAAATTACACTGTCACCATTACACCAGAATAACTCCACTAGAGGGTCTGACCACTCAGTCATGTTTGTATGGCTCTTAGAAATTCTACTATTCACACAAATATGTTACTTGACCTGGTAAGCAAGTATAGTAAGTCAGGCTTTTGATATACTATGAGAATTCCAGAAGTTGCAGAATTATTTATTATCATAAACAGGGTTAGCATAAACATCTGTTTTTCTGACTATCTAACAAATCTTGTTTAGACGTGACTTTATCCTAACTGTTTATTTTATTGCCAAAGCATTCCAGTCACTAGACAAGAACAGTGAAGCCAACACTATTCAGATATCTGTAAGCTACAGAGACTAATGGCCTAACTCCACCAGTTCTTGCTTTAAAAAAGGTTTTAAGAAAAATGTTGTTGGAAGAAAATGAACCAGAATTAGGAATCAACTAGTTTCCATGCTTCCAGTCAACAGTAGCCTTCTACACAATAAAATAAGAAGAAACCAAATGACAATTTAATTTATGAAATGATAATTTGGCCCTTGCACACAGTCACCAAAGCCAAACCATACATGCCAAAATTGATATCCTAAGAATGATACCAGTCACATGAATTCTATATTTCAATTTATTACTCTATACCTAGAGCTTCTCAACTCCAAGCTTACCAGCAAGATACACATGTAATCAGATTCCACTTCTCCATTAACCCAGTTTTTCATGAAATGAGTTTTTTTATTATTCATTCATATGACTTCTATAATTACTTTGCATGTTTTTTTCGAAATTACAAACAACATAAAAGTCATAATTACTTTCAACCACATGAGTTAAGAAATTACTGCCAACAAAAGGGTGTTGGTAAACAGATTTCATATAGCGACTTCTCATTGATATGCTCTCTCTTCTTAATTTGAGTACGCATTTACATTGGACCCTCGACTTACGAAGGTCCCTACCTACGAAAATTTCGAGGTATGAAAAGCTCCGGCCACAACATTTTAGTTTGACTTGTGGCCGGAGCTTCGACCTATGAAAGGCAGGGGAAAAGGGTGGGAAATTCAAAGCTTCCCCCACTGCCCTCTACCTACCATCCCCGCTGCCCTCTGCCTTCTGTCCCCACAGAGACAGAAGGCAGAGGGCACCGGTGATGGGAGACAGAGGGTAGCAGAGGGGGTTGCTAAGCTCGGAAAGCCGAAAGCTGCTCCGCGCCTGCTGCTGGCTTTCTGAGCCGCTCCGCCCCCCCTGCCAGCTTTCAGCTTTCCAAGCTTCACGACTCCCTTCACTGTCCCTGTCTCCCATCCCCGGTGCCCTCTGCCTTCGGTCCCCACAGGG